TTAAAATTCCAGCACAAGTTAAAACTCCAGTACAAAATCAAATTCCAGTACAAGTTAAATTAAAGTACAAATTAAAATTCCAGTACAAGTTATATTCCAGTACAAGTTATATTCCAGTACAAGTTAAATTCCAGTACAAGTTAATTTTCCAGTACAAGTTGACTTCCAGTACATATTTGAGCTTATTGCCAATGAGTGGTCTCAATTATTAAACTATTTTATTTTTTGTGAAGAAGGCCCGAGGTTGGGAGAAAAATATTATGCTGCTCCCCATATATAAATGTAATTCAAAACCGTAAACTAATTTTTTATCCTTCAAAAGATGCAAAACGTGCATGCGTTGATATCAAAAATTAAATATATTTCTAGATTTTTTGATGGCAAAATCCTTGATAACGTCATTTATGGTGGGTCCACTTTTTATGAAACCCGGAAAGCCTTTGTTCTAATTTCGTTTAACGTCATCGATTATCGATTTTCCACCCGTTATCAATAATCGATTTTGTGGCCTTTGATTAAGAGCCCCACGAACAAGTGAAATGTCGTATATAGAATTACAATACATTGATCGTTAATTTATCTGTCATCGATGCATGTTTGTAGGGTCGGGTGTCAGCCCTCGTGGGTTTTCTCTGGGTTTCGATTCCCCAGTTGTACGTGCCAAGGAATAGGTTCGCCTGTTCATACTCGTGGGTTTTCTCCGGGTCCTCCGGTTTCCTCCCACTGCTGAAGACCCCTCACGCAAGCGAATTATTGAAATAAAATTGAACCATAAGTTAGTCCCAAAATAACCTAGTTTGTCTCGAGTGGACGTTAAACCGCATCTCTCTCTCTCTCTCTCTCTCTCTCTCTCTCTCTCTCTCTTGATGGTCTCAGTTTTCGTTGTTCGATTTTTTTATATTTAATGATTTACAACTATTAGAATAAACAATTAAGTGTACTGTATATATGATCCGATTCTCTTGTCGTTTTCTAGCACTATATTTAGTCAAGATAACTGATCATATGACAAAAGAATCATGGTGGCTTTGACTAAAACATTGTAATTATTTTCCTTCCATCTGTGTTTGATGTGTCCGATTACTAAATGTCTTTCAAACAGTATATTTAGGATTTTTTTGGACTCAGTTCGTGGTTAAAAAGGTAATCAAAAAAAGGATAGAACCTAGAAATAGGGTTTACTCTGAAATTAAATAATTACTGTACGTGTATTTATTCCGTCCTGATTCAAATCTCTCTCTCTCTCTCTCTCTCTCTATTTCGTGTGAAAGCCCCTTTAACAATAAGTTATAACTATTATAATATCGTGACTATCGATATTAACCTTTTAAACCAGTAGATGAACCGCTAGTTTAATCATCTATCAGATAGTTCCAATAATTCTCACAGAAAGCATATAATTCATAGAGATCTTCATCCTTTAATTGATAATAAGTACTTGCTATTTTGGAATAATTTTTGAAGTTTGTCAGGTAAGAAATTATATTGACCTATTTCGGTTCAGCTGATAAATGGCGCCATTAAAAACGACGATATTCCAGAACAAAGGGTGTATGGCTCTATTATATGGAACCTTAAAATAGAGACGAAAATGAGTCTAAATTTCTAATTCGTGTTTTTAACTTGGAATTTTATGGAAAGTATTGAGTTGGAGGTCATTATAGGTCAACTTTTGTTCATAGATGATGATAAATGACCCTTTTAAAAGCGGAAATATAACATAATAAAAATCAAAAATCTATAATCTTTGAATGCCTCAATCTAACTTAAAGACCCTATGCGTAATTTTATCGATATAGAATCAGTTTCAAACTACAATATTGTGAATGGTGAATCTCTAAAAATACCAGTCCAAAAATTGTTCATTATTCCTGTCCAACTTCGTGGGTTTTCTCCTGGTCCTTCGATTTCCTCCCACTGCTAAAGACCCCTACGCACAAGTGAAATATTGAAATAAAATTGAACTTTATGTTAGTCCCGAAGTGACCTAGTTTGTATCAAGTGGACTTTAAACCCCATTTCTCTCTCTGTCTCTGTCGGACCCCGTTCAGTATTTATAGTATTGCATTTTAAACTGCTTAAAGAAATAAAGCGAAACGAAATTCACATTTGATTTTAATTAGTTTGGTAAAAACTGTGTATTAATTGAATTAGATCAGAAATCATCTGGTTTCCATAACTTAAAGGTGAAGATTTTTTTTTTTTTTTTTAACCTTTTTTAAATATTGTTATCGATATCTTTTCTTCTTTTATTCTATTTAACAAAGAATGGAAACTTCTTCTTTAAAATAAAAATTCTTGCAATTTATATGAAAAAGGTGAGATTAGAATAGATGGACAGAGAAAGAGTAAGTCATTTCGGGACCTACGCCCCCCCCACATACGCCCCCCCCCCCAAATACGCCCCACCCCCACATGCGCCCCTTTGAGCACCACTACATTAACCAAATAGGTTTATTTTCTGGAATTTAGAAGTGTTTAAAACATGATACTATGAATCAGTCAGTGATTTGTTATATGGTATATCTTTTCACATTGATATTTTTATTACCTACCGACTGCTGTAGCTTATTGAGATAATAGTGGTTAATGTATAACGTTCAATCGAGGAGGTGGGGGTGATTAGCACATGCGCGCTGTCATTGAGTCAACTGGCGTGGTTTCGATTCCCCGGTTGTACGTGACAAGGAGTAGGGTCGCCTGTTCAACCTCTTGGGTTTTCTCCGGGTCCCCGGGTTTCCTCCCACTGCTAAAGACCCCTACGCGAAAGCGAATTATGGAAATAAAATTAAACCATATGTTAGTCACAAAATGACCTAGTTTGTGTTGAGTTGACGTTAAACCCCATTTCTCTCTCTCACGTTCAGTGGAGATTGTATAATTCATCTCAGTACCATATTTTAATTTGACCCAAATCAAACAGGTTTAGATCCTTTATATAACAGACCCAGGTTGCTGGATTTTACTAAATATTTTACCGGAAGAGGGGTTTATATAGGATTTGCCTGTTCCCCAACCCCCTCAGTTTCTGAATAAATATTGTTAATAAATAAAAATAAAAAAAATAAATATAACAAATCCCTTTCACATGTACGTGTTGAATAGGTTATACATCTTTTTAAACATAAAAGAAAAGAACCAAGTTTTATATCTTCTCTGGGGAAAATCCCTTTTATGTGAATAGTAAAATTTGTCCTATATGATACAGATTTATTTTAAATATGCAAGGAGAGAAAGTTTTTTTATATATTTTTCTCTAGGGAAAACTCTTTGTCATATAAATGGTAAAGTCAGCCCGTACAGACCATTAAAATATGCGTGGAGAAAAAGGGAGTTTATCTTTTAAAGATACTATTACATAGTTAAATATGGCCTTTAATATTTCAACCGTTCATTGGTCTAGAAGTTTGGTTATATGACCTTATCATCTGAATACTAAATAATAATACATATAACATTTAAAACCAGAAAAATAAGGATTTAGCTCTTTTCTAATGTATCGTTAAGACCTCTACTGTTGTGACCCTGCCACAACTTATATTAAGTTAGTGTTAAGTAATAGATTAGTTCTGTAGCATTCATCCATTATCAGAAATACAGAACATATATATCTGTCATTGTTAATAGCATATTCCGTGTTTCATTACCTTTAAAGTAGCTAAGTCTCTAACTCAATATCATCCAAAGTCTTCGACATTGAAAATTTGAATTATTTGTCAATTTAAATCAACATATGTTGTGATCTTACCGGGAAAAGATGGGCTTCTCATATCCAATATTTAGGACAAAATGAACATTTTACTACTGGTACACGAATCGTGTACCATAATTCGTTTCAGCGCCATTTGTAACAATGGACTCGAAGAACGAAGCTAGACATATTTCACAAGTCATGTCAAACGGTGACGCCATATTCTTATCTGGAGAGTATGCGCAATAGATAGTATCTATGTAGACTGGAATAACCAGGCGCTAGAGATTGTCGTTTGATTGAGACTTCTGGCTACTTCGCCGAACATAATTGATTTGAAATTACAGTAACAACAGAAATGTAAATCAGTTTATATATTCATATTGCATTATTATACGCGTTGCTACCCATTTGTATCAATTTCTAGGTCCAAAATATTAGCGATTTAGCTCCTTTAAGACTTTTGTTAGTGTGACTCTGCCTTCACTAATTAGATGGTGTTAATAAGGAATAAATTAGTTCTACAGAATCCATCTATTGTCAGAATTCCAGAACATATTCCTGTCATTATTAATAGTATGTTTCTTGTTTCATTATCTATATAATGTAAACATGTAAGTATATTAATTCCTTGGCCAAGTCTATCTTCCTGCATACGAAACTTGATATCACACACGAAGTTAGTTGACCGACATTTTAATTCCCAAATCGACGATTTTAGTCGAAAAAACTAAATCTCGACAATTTAGAAAAGTATTTATTCAGCTTCTATTTAATAAAATTGAAAATGATTGTATATTCTTTGAATTAGAGCCACATCATAAAGTAATATTCTAATTCTTGAATATGGCGGTCATTCAGCACAGAGATCTTTTCCCAATGTTGATAGTTCTCTGCGCGCTAAATGGTTCTTTCTGATTATTTCCTTGTTCATACTCTCAGATTCTCTGTAATACAGAAATATAATTTAAAAAAATGACAAGACTCGTCAACACAAATCATCCATTATGATATAACGTCATCAAAATTTCTGACGTCGGAGGCTTTAAAACTTGCCCGAATCGATCGAATGGGACAAAAAACCTAAATCATTTCATTTATAAATGTCAATCCTGTTGTTATGGAAACGGGCAATGTATTCAATCAAGTTCAAATATCGAATAAAACTGGAAGTTGGTGTAGTCAAGGTTTTGTTTTAGAAGCGCAGATCATTATTTTTTAAATTTCTGATTAATTTTGTAAATTGATAAATTGATATTCATTTCGTCCTTTGTAATATTTAATTTGTGAATATGATTTTATTTTTCAGGCAGAGACAATACTAGTTACATCCATTGAGGTACGTTAAGTTTAAACATCCTGTAATATATTTCATCTTGTACAGACTGTTATGGACGATGCTGTCTATTTGGGAATCAGGGTGGTTGGGAATGAGATCTGACAGGTTGCAGGGAACAGGCCAGTTAGAGGAGGGATCAGCCAGGTTGGGAAAATCAGACGGGTTAGGAATGAAATTAGACCGGTTAGGAATGAGATCAGACCGGTTTGGAAGATCTGTCCGTTCGGGTCGGTTGGGTAGATCTCGTTGATTGGGAAGGAGGTCGGATTGGTTGTGGAGAATAGGCAGGTTGAGCGATCAGGCCGTTTAGGAAGGTGTTTAGGAAAGTTGAGAAGGTGATTAAGTCGTTTGGGAAGGAGATCAAGTCGGTTGGGAAGGAGATCAGATCTGTTGGAAAGGATATCAAAGCGGTTGGGAGGGTCATTTACATATGGAAAATTCATGTATCGGATAATTCTTATTTAGGGTCACCTGCCCCCCCTCACCCTGCCTAACCTTTCTGGTCTCTAATACGGCTTTTGGAATGTTTTACTTCCATAACCGACCGGAACCGGAATCTGCAGCCCTCCCCTTTCTATCAATCCCTCCCCTCTCCACTACCCACCCCCTCCCCTTTCCATCACAACTGTATGAACACTGACCGAAAGTGAACCATTTTTGAACAAATATTATTTTTATAGGATTCAACTTTTACACTATTATAATTTACGAGGGGACTAAGGATGGCTCGGATGACCCCCCCCCCCCTCCCCCGGGGTTTAACATTTTTAAGATACAAGACTTTCTTCATATAATATGTCGAAAGGTAGTGCTAATGATTTACTTAATAATAGTCTGTATTGTACTTAATTTATTATTCTACCACATAGCTCCCTTTTAATCATTACCTACTCAGACCTGTTAAAACAAATCACACCTTGACAAACAAAAATCATTTCTTCTGCCAAACTCCATAAAAAAAAAAATCGTTACTTTTAAATTATATGTGTACGATGGAGAAAGATTGAGGCATTCTAGTGAATAAGTGTCAAACAGATGTGATAAGTTATTAACTTTTAAAATGAGCCGGAAAATAACATTTTTCATATTTAATGACAAGGGAATATGTCTAGCACCTGGGAGAGGTTTACTATAATTGTAAATTGAATTCACCAATTGAAATGCCATGGCCATAAAAGAATTCGGAATAATACAAATTATTATTTTTCTGAATATAACATCGTTATAAATCAATTTTAAATGAACAACCTAATTTGTGAATAAGAAATCCAAACACAATCCCGCCGTCCTTTCTCCATCATTCATTATCCACCGTCCTTTCTCCATCATTCATTATCCACGGTCCTTTCTCCACATTTCATTACCCACCGTCCTTTCTCCATCATTTATTATCCACCGTCCTTTCTCCACATTTCATTATCCACCGTCCTTTCTCCATCATTCATTATCCACGGTCCTTTCTCTACCATTCATTATCCACGGTCCTTTCTACACCATTCATTATCCACATCCACCATCCTTTCTCCTTCATATGGGGATCACGTGGCTAAGTGGGTAAGACGCTGGCTCGCTAGCCTGGCGATCGGGTGTTCGATCCCTGCATTGGCCGAGAAAGTTCATCCAGATTTTCCGGCGTGGTGACCCCTTGTCAGTGATGCAGGACGGAGGGCCTGACAAGGACAGCTGTCTAGTCGTTCGGATGGGACAAAAAACCGAGGTCCCGTGTACAAATTGGCGTGCACGTAAAATGGCAGCTGGAATTCAATATAAGAGTTGGCCGTAGCGCCGCTGCCCGGGCAAAATTTCCCTCATAGCCCAGTTTAGGAGCAAAACAGTAGGACGTTAAACCCCATTTCATTTCATTTCATTTTCTCCTTCATACATCTTATTAATCATGTTTTATTTCAGAATACACCTTACCTACAAGCACCACCAAGTAAAGAGAATACCAGCAATCCATACACTGGTTTCATCAAGGATGTTTTGGATGAAGTGGCGAAATTTACAAAGTTTGATTTTAAAATTAGTCTGGTTGATGACAATACGTTTGGAGCCCAAAATGATGATGGATCGTTCACTGGGATGATTGGAGAGGTCATGTTAGGGGTAGGTTGGCTAACGAGAGAGAGAGAGAGAGAGAGAGAGAGAGAGAGAGAGAGAGAGGGGGGGTTTAACGTCCACTCGACACAAACTAGGTCATTTCGGGACTAACACATGGTTCAATTTATTTTCAATAATTTGTTGCGCGCAGGGGTCTTTAGCAGTGGTAGGAAATCGGAGGAGCCGGAGAAAACCCACGAGATTGCACAGGCGACCCTATTATTTGTCACGTACATCCGGCGAATCGAAACCATGCCAGCTGAATCAATGACAGACCTTATGATACAACGCGCACGTGCTAACCATTCGACCACCCAACTCCCCAGAATGGAGATGAATGCCGACAAAATGGCGCGGTTTGCAAACAAATTATTGCTATGCGGTTATATAATTATATATTCTCCAAGCACAATGTATCTTTACGCACAGCATAATAATTTTTCTAAGCCCCAAATTGTTCAAATAAATTTTATTTTGGATTGTCAGTAATTCCCTTACGCAAATTGTCTAAATATTAGTAGCAAAAAATGTTATCCTATATTTAAAAAAAGTAACAACTCTTTTGCATCGCTCTTTACGACAGCAGATTTAAAGGACAATATTGGTGCCAGTCATTATATCACATATATGCGATAGAACTGGTTAAACACGTTCCAAATATAATTTTAACACAGAGATTTTTTTGAATTGTCAGATATCCTCCCACAGTCTCATATATCAATTTTTGGTCTTCGAAGGAATTATTAGTGAGCAGAAATTCGCCCGTGTATCTGTTATCACTCGTCACATCAGTCAGTTATATAGAAGGATAACTCGTGTTTTCCTTTTGCGTTCGTCACTTCCCTTTCTTGAAGTCTTAATAACACTGCTATCGTAGCAATGATCTCTGTGTTAAAAGTATATTTGGAACGTGTTTAACCAGTTCTATCATATATGTGATAATGACTGGCACCAATATTGCCCTTTAACAAATATTAACTAGCTGTGTGTACCCCGATCCCGCCGCACCGCAACTAAAACTCGCTACGCGCTCCTAATGTACATGCATATTGAAATCTTATTGGAACGTCGCAGTGAAATAAACAATAGCAATTGTTATTCCATAAATAGTGTGTTATTTGATTATGTTCCAATTACTAAATGCCATTCAAAGAATAATTACATGCATATTAGTTAAAGTTACAATTTCATATTTTTAAGTTATATTTTTAAAATGTATTAAAATAAAGCCCTAAAATAGATGGTATCTTTAAACAGTCCTACCTTGTTAAAGAATAATCCTATTAATCCTATAATTCACTATTGCCAGTTGAGAAATTGGCAAAAATATCATTTTCAACTACAAATTCAAACGTTTTAACATAGCTATTCCATGGCGGGGAATAGGAAAACAAGGGAGGTAATTGTGATATTATTTCCTGTGTCAATGATTTTTAAGTGTGAGAAAGATAACCTATGATCGTATAATAGTGAGTTGACAACCTATTGAGCAAAAGGCATAGAAATAATTATGTTTTGACTTTCTTAAAAAATATGAAATTGTAACTTTAAGTGTTTTGTGAAACACATTAGGCATAACCTCTTTTCAGCCATAAAACCTATGTTATATAGTCGTATTTAGCTACCATTGGAGGTTTTCAGTTCTACCTGGCAAATGTAACATCTTAAAAATAAGTGGCGACGGGGTGTAAGCAGGTATCTCATGCCCCCAGACATTCACTCTTGATAATCGAGAGTTAATTTTGAAAAATAGGGTGTCAAAAATTATAACTCGTAAGCGCCCTATCCACAGAAATAGAATTTCTTATCTCTTCTAAGCTCATTTCTGCCCATTCTTCCCGAATCGTATTTTTAAGTTTGTTTTACGGAAATGGTTTTGATCGTACTGAAAAGGGGACATAACGCCGGAACGGAAGTCCGATTTGCACCAAAATCAACCCGTAATGGACATATATTTAAACCGTATTTAAAATCGAATAAAAATTGTGACAAATATTAGCGTATCAAAAAGCGATTTTTGTACAATCTGGGACTATCATCGAGGAAGTTACGGTCTAATATGTGCCAAAGTCCAACACATCCAAAATCTTTGGAAAGTAAACAAATATTCAGTGGCGTCAACATCGGATAGAAATTTCAACTTGTAAAGCTCCGACTGCATAATATGTCCACGTGGAAATGTATGCGTATAAAAATTGTTGTTCTTGTTTTCGTGGATCGGAGGTTTTTTTTCTTTGTTCAATGGGAGGTGGGGGAGTGGGGCATCTCTATTTCCTCGAGTATATATCTGTCACCTCCCCCCCCCCCCAAACATCCACCCACCACCACCACCTCCCCCCCCCCACACACACCCACCACCACCACCTCGTTTTGTCTGTCCTTGCTTGAAGTACTATACTGTTTAAATAATGGTGATATAATTATTGTGGATATTTCTATCCGTATCGCAATATTCAGTCCTACCACGAATGCACATTATTTCTTACCAACTATATTATATATTTTTTAAAATAGAATTCACCTGTAGATTATTCTAAAAGTACCACTACCGATATACACTGATGCATGACCCAACACCTGTGTATAAACAACACGAGACAGTTGGTTTGAAAAGAGTTCCTATCGTTATGGCTCACGTGGTGTAGTAGATCGTTTTGAGAAACACAAATCTTCCATATGCAGTTAATTAACCATGCAAACAAAATTCTTGATATCAATCTATTTTGCACTGTAACCAGAATAATCCAAGGAAGCAACTGGTCCTTTGTCTTAAACAAAGCCGGTGATGTTGGGATTATCGACCACTGAATGAGCGACACAATAAAAATGAAGAAGCTATCTTTTTACCGTAGCTGACTTGGTATAATGGTACCTTTAGCTGCTAAACGTACTTAAATTATACATACAAAACTATCGGCTAACCTTACTTAAATTGTATATACAAGATACAAAACAATCGGTTAACCGTACTTAAATTGTACATAAAAGATACAAAACTATAACGTTAACACTATTTTCAGATAATCTAGAATTACTTCCTATTGGCGGAAAAAGTATAGGCCTACATTACTACTGTATATCATGGAAAAGTTTTTGTTCAAGTTCAAGTGTTTTCTTTCATATCGCGACATAATCCAATTTATTTATATGTAGCTGATTCTGGCTGAATTAAATAGAGCAACGTATACGGCCCTTTTTTGTAATTAGCAATAGTAGTACCATGCCTAGTACTATGCAGTCGCTGGTTAGATGTGGAAAATACTGCAGTCGCTGGTTAGATGTGGAAAATACGCTTAGACAACTCCCCACATTCAACATGTGAAACATACTCTCTTTTATCTGTTACATATTTTCCCTTCCAGAACCTGTCTGCTGTCTAGCAAATTCTCGCAAGTATGATAGTTTTGTAGCTTTGGGTTTTGGACCTTGAATTATCTAATTGCTCAAATATGATGTAAATAGGTATAGAGATTGGTTAAACAAGCTGAATGATGCAATCGTAAATTTCCTATCACATGTAATACATGATATTCTTATTCCCACAAAACCAGCTAATGTTTACCAAATTATAACTCTTTTTTATGTAACCATCTGTCACTCATTCACTTAGTTAATTTAAGTACAACTACTACATATATGTGAATCTAATAACTTGCCAAAGATATTACTTAATACAATATAATGCCATCATTAATTTCAAGAGAAGAATTCTACAAAAAGTGTTCCACAATTGCCATCAACCAAGTGGATCAAGCAGTAAACAGAAGAAAACATAGAGTATACTTCACTGTTTATACGACAATATACACATTTAAAAATACAAAACACAAGTTTATCAGAGAGCCAGAAAATACTTTTCATTCTGTATGGTAATTAGTCATAATAAATTTATTGTATTACCAACAACTAAGATAATTTCGAAACATGATGATAAAACTACGGCAATGCCTTAATAAAATCAGAAATTTGATTTTCATTTATGCATGTAGCGGTTTAGCAACAATGTTCAATTACATATACACTTTAACTAGAATATAATTTAGACTGCAGATTGGATTGTAATTCTTCTAAAGTAGCTATGACGCGTGGTAATCTTGGTCTGGACAGAGCCCGGACGTTGGTACAGGCTTTCCAGAGAGGGGACGACTTTAGCCTGGGCCATAATTTGACCAAATAAAAAAAAAACAAACTGAAGACGTCTGACTGTGGGGTCGTGTGGCAGTTTTCACGGGCTTCGGGAGTCAAAACTTAGAACTAAGACATAATAATTTATTATAGTCGGGGCTGACAGTAAACCCCAAGCCTTTCCTGAATTTGGACATCCCGAAGTCAAAGAAACGAACATAGAACCCATCGAGATCCACCAGGATGTTGTCGGCTTTTAAATCATTGTGCATAACGTGACATCTGTGGATGTTGAATGGCTTCTTGCTGATATTTATGCAAATCGTTATCAACGATTTCGCTGACAGATCACCATGGTGTTTCAAGATGGTTTCGATGCTCCCTGATCCGAAAAACTCTTGCACCAGTGAAAAGTCATTCTCGTCGATGATTTATTTTATGCCAGGATCCCATGAAATGTAAGTGTTGCGTCTTTTCCGTGTAACAGAGCTACAATCCGAGCTGCATGTTCCACCGATTCCCAGCAGATTCTTTCGTTGAGGAAATCCTTTACAGCAATCTGCTGTGAGGTTTTGAGCAAGCGTCCTAGATACACCACGCCCTAGCTACCTCGTCCAATATCTTTAAGCGATTCGTCCTTATGAAACACAATGTCCTTTGATCGGATGGAGAGTACAAAAATAGAATCCAAGTCTTCGGGTAAATCACTCGAAGCTTCATATCTAGATGGTAAGAAAGGCGAATATCTTGAATCGTGTCTGAACATGTCCATCATGACATCGTGGTTCATGCCGAAATTCCCAACGCTGTCAATATAAAGCAGCCTGGCGATGTCAACGTATTCTTTCAAACTGACGTTCAAAAGATTTTCCTCTACGATGCCATCACCTTCTTGGAGGTGACTTTCTGCCTCTGGATTCTTGACAAAATACGCTGGATCCAACAAAACTGCTAAATTAGTTAGTTGAACTGTTTGTTCAACACCAAGTATAAAATCCAATCTTGTTTTGCGTATTTTGTTTGCCAAAGCTATATTCATCATTGGTTCTGGGCAGCTGTATTGTATCCTATTTTGTATGTCGAAAGTCCTTCCATGAAGTGTACCTAAATAATTTTCAAACCGCAGTAAGTTGAACCTAAAGACACTTTGGAAATCAATCACGCCAGAAATTGGTGGTGCTTCGCCAGCTGCTGATTTGAAGGCCCATTTTGCTTGACTTCTTATATCTGTTTTTAAGGAGCTAGCCCCATTGTCTGATGATGTAGATCTCTGACGGACGATGCAGGAACCGCGGAATCTTTTGATGTTGGTGAAGTTTTAGCAAAAGCTTCTTTAAGACCAGACACATCTTGCATGTGAGTGGTAGTCGGAGCTGGAACCTGTGACGACAGATCTTTGACATCGTTTGTTGTTTGGGCTTGCACAAAGGCTTCAGTATATTCCGGTACAGCTTAAACAGAGGCACTGTTTAATTATGGCACAGCTTGAACAAAGGCTTTCATATAGTCCGGTACAGCTTGAACAGAGGTACTGATCAATAGCGGTGCAACTTGAACAAAGGCTTCCATGCATTTTGGTACAGCTGGAACAGATGTACTGATTAATTGTGGCGTGGCGTGTACTGAAACATCTGTGCTCTTAGGTGTAGCTGCTTGACATCCAATAGTAGTTTGGAACTTTCAGTCTCACAGCTAATAATCTATACATAACTGGATCAACAGTTTGAGTTTTCATGGATTCGTCATGTTGTCCAATATTTTCCAGCAACGTTCTGTTTGATTTCTCTCCATTTTTCTTGGCAACAAGAACTTCTATCGTGGTTATTAAGGAGTTTTGATAGTAGTATTTCCAGATCGTGGTTGTCAAGGAGTTTTGATAGAAGTATTTCCATATCGCTGATGGTAGCATGATCATTGGTTTGTACGGATGCTGAAGTAGTTTTAGGTTTATGAGTTCTCAATGGGATTAGGCAAAACCTTTGTTGGTGTTCATATCGTTTTAAACAAACAGATTTTAAGGAACCAGTCTGACTATTTCCTTGTTTCCAGGTTTCCATTAATTAATTAGATAATTGATTTAATGAATTAATTAATTGATTATGCGTGATTAATTATCGCCAAACACAGTTGTAACTTTCTTAATACTTGGTCAATTTCAATGAAATTTTCCAGCAAAATGTAGCTGTTGAAAAGCTCTAAATGATACATCAGATAAGTAATTAAAACCTTTATAATATCACTACTCTTACTCAATATATAGGTCCAATTTACAATGATAGTATGGCTAGCACAAAACCAACTCCGAAGTAACCAGATCTGTGGCAAGGACATACTTGGACACGTTGTAGGATTCTCCATCGTCCAATATACCACACCCATTCCAGTAACAAACACGATAGGTGACCATATTCTTTCTTAGTTTCTCAATCCAACCGTGGCAAAGTTTTTTCTTTAACAAGTCTTCTCCAGCAGGAACAGCATTGTACGTTTCATTTAAGTATCCTCTGGCCATGCCTGGCTTCTGAAAGAGATTCTGCTTCCTGTTGTTCTTTGGTGGAGGCATTACAATGTTTGAGTTTACCTGAATATAAAAGTAATTTGTGATAGTTTGGAATTTCATTATAAAAGAGAATAATAGTTAAGTGTTGGTCCGCCAGAAAACCATGCAGAAAGTGATAAGGTGGGGGTCGGCCAAATTCATTCTTACTCAGGTCATAAAGTCACCCCATCCCAACATGCAAAAAACCAAAATGGCCGACCCCAAATATTAACCCCCTCTTAGATATGGCCCTATGTCGATTTTTAGCCATTTTTGGCGAATTTTCGGTGAAAATTTGTCATTTTTCAGCTATCAAATTCTACTAAAAGCATCAGGTTAGTGATTATGTCCAATTGTGGATGGATAGTGGGGGTCGGCCCCTAAAACCCAACATGAAAGACCGACCCAATATCACAGTCTTTAGCCGCTGGGGGGCGTTTTCTGGATACCACTTTTCGCATAGTGAAATGTACCCAATCAGTGAGGGGCTATATCTCGTCTGCAGCAGGGGGTGGGTCGAAATCGGGGGTATGTATTTTAAGGCGAGTATATGTCCTAACAATATCAACAATAAAATCCACCGGCGCTAGTCTACAACATAGCGAATCTTTGATGAGAAGATTGCCGATTTCTGGATTTCTGACAATAAACTGATATTCACTGAAAGGATTCTAGGAGGCCTCAACACTTATAAAGTGCTCTAAATGCTCTATATATCACGGCATTTCGGATGGAAAATATTTCGAAGGTACCGCCACCCGCTCTAGCAAAACAGACACGGTTGATTTTAGCTTGGTGTCCAACCTCAAATCCAAGATGGCTGCCATGGAGGAGAAATGCGATTTTTCTCAATATTTTGAGTCAAAATGTTTTGCAGGGTTTTGCATGGTTTTCTCACGGATTGACTCTTAAAAAACTATAGTTCATTGTAAAGTGACCAATCAGAGAAAGTCAAAATGTCACGTGATCACAACAGTGCAGAATCGCCCACCACAGCCAAAGGTACACGGACGTTGCAAGAAATAAACAACAAATATCACATCAAGTGAATGGACCCAGGGGCTAATTGTAAGCGCCCACTGCGTTGTACTGTTCCAGGCCTGTAATGATATAGGTTTCACTCAAAATGAAAAACAAAACAATGATTAACAAGAAAGACGCAATAAGGGCGATAATCCTGATAGATTTTCGGAAAACACTAAAACCTTAGATATTAAAAGTGTGGTGAGCAAACAGGAGCAACATAGAGTACCATTTTAATCCATGGGTCCATTAGAGGGGAACATCGTCAAATTATTCGCCCGTGATACTTGCGCTATTCTTTTCGACCATTGGTGGAAGGAAGTAACTCGTTAAATTATCCGCGAGTGATACTTGCGCTATTCTTTTCGACCAATCGACTGGGCGAAGGGAAGTAACTCATGTTTTATTGCAACTAAAATTATTGTGGTGAAGCTAAACAATAACGCCAGGACTGGCATGCAAACTGTTTTTGATTGGTTTGTAGAATCACGCTACGATCAAGGGGAGATAATTTGAATTCCTGAGAACCACGTGAGTGGACCCCAAATTAGTGTAGTAGAGAGGATATGCTGGGCCCGAATATAAAATATTCAATAAAATATCAGCTACTATCTCACTATGTGGTATCGCGAGTAGAATTCTGAAACATAGACAATAACTGCGAAATAGGCACCATTCGCGTACATGGTTAACGGACCTAACCATATAAGAAAAAAACAACGTATGAAATATTAATACGCCCCATCCCCGATTCTTGGGTGGTTGTAATCCTCACCAGAATTTGACTTATTGTAATTTGAAATTTTTTATTTTTTATTTTTATCTTTCAGAAAGCCGATGTCGCTGCTGCTGCTTTAACAGTGACGTCTACTCGACGAAGTGTTGTTGAATTCTCTCCTACCATTCAAAACTTCGGCCATGTTATTGTCATGCGCAAACCAGATGGCATTCAGACGAACTATTTAGAGCGGGTATCTCGCCTTTTTTCTCCACTAGAACAGAGTGTCTGGTTGATGTCGCTAGTTGCCTTCTTCATCACGAGCACCATTCTTTACGGTATCGCCCATAGTAACCCGTATGAATGGAGGAGGCTAGCTCACGACGGAGAGGCGACACTGAGAGAGGGAGAAACATTTAATTGCATGAATTCGTTCTGGTTCATCATCAGCTCGTGGGCATTACAAGGTTTGTGCTTATATATCTAGTGTAACCATGGCGATTCAGTGTTGGTCGATAAAGTTTCTTGATGTTATTGTCCAGTGTGTTTCTCACTTGTCCAAGTAGGAGTTCCTGGGTGTTCGCTCTCAGTTCGTCGCCATTTTCTGGCCTTATGCAGGAGGGAAGTCCTGGTCGGGATGGGACGAAAAACCGAGGTCCCGTGAACACATTGACCCTTGACAGTTCGATTTTGAAATACGAGTCGGTCGTAGTGCCTCTGTTCGAGCAAAATCTCCCTCATAGCACACTGCAGGGTGTATTAGTAGGATGTTAAACCCCATTTCGCTTCGCACTAACAGCGCCTATTGAAAGGTTCGTCCTCTTCTGATCCTAAATTTTTAAAAATGTAGCCTCTCTACTGCGTTCACAAGCAAGTCAGTTGTTGACGAACTGACGGACAGAGTGGCAATATAATACACTCGCATAAATGGGTCCGTATAAAACATCTTTGAACTGCTGAAATAATTTTAATAGTTTGTTCGGTGTAAAAAAAAGGTCGACCTAAAAATTATATTATATTAACATCTAAATGAAATTTGGTGTTTCAGGATTTGGTGCCAGGACCCCTCGCTCTATGGGCGGTAGAACGGTTGTCATTTTCTGGTGGATATTCGTAATTATATTTGTTGCCACGTACATTGCCAGTCTCACCAATCTGTTAAGACACAGTCCTGATGCGTCAGATATACAAGCATCATTTGGAGGGATAAAGAGTCTGGAAGACCTCAATAAGCAGGATGAGGTCATGTTTGGTATGTTGAACGGTGGATCAACCGAACAGTACTTTAAGGCGGCTAATATCCCTTACTTGAAAAATATTTGGCAAGCGGTAGACGAAAACCGAGACTTACTTGTGAATTCTGTTCGTGACGGTATTGCAAAAGTAAGGCTATCCAGGTCCAGTGTCCCTTACGCCTTCATCATGGAGTCGGCCATGGCAAAGTATCACACAAGGAAGAAACCCTGTGACCTTTACTACGCGGGAGACTTAACAATGACCGGTAATTATGCTTTTGCATACCGACCAGGATGGAAACACTCGAAAGCTTTTGACATGGCCATCATGCGTCTTAGAGAAAACGGTGCTTTGCAGATGTTGGAAGAGAGATGGTTTAGTGGAACCTGTGAGGGGTCTTTCATTGATTCTAGTTCTAACGTAGGAGATAAGTATCATGTACCTAGTTTCTTCAAGGTAGATCTTGGATCTTTTGGAGGTGCGTTGATTATTCTTATTATTGGTCTGGTTGCTGGCTGTCTTATAACTGTAGTGGAAATCTGTGTTTTCAAAAGGGCCGAAAGGGTAAGTATAATATAGGGATACGGTATTTTGTAAACAGTATTGTCTGCTTAATTCGGGAGCCGGTTGACTTGTCGAGTAAGACGCTGGCTCGCTAAACACGGTGATGCAGGGGAAACCCCGAGGCTCTGTGTACACACCGGTGTGCACGTAAAAGACCTTTTGACAGTTGGAATTCGAAATAAGAATAAGCTTCAGTGCCGATGTCCAGGCCAAATTTCCCTCATAGCACACTGTATTACATATGTCACCTTCATCAGCGCAGTCGGAGCAGAAAAGTAGGACGTTAAATCCCATTTCATTACATTTGCAATAATAGGTAATTCCTTTGTCAATAATGCAGATTCCGATGGGCCGACAAACTAAGGTCATTATGGGACAAACCCTATCGATATTCAGCATTCCGTCATTTTCAGTTGCAGATTTACCCCCCCCCCCCTTTGCCGAAATATCAGATTTTCCGTTAGGATAAGCTGCTACCCAGACATTGCTGCTGTGTGTGATTATGTACATTGCGTGGCTATCTTACTTTTGGAAATAAACAGATTTTGAGGAAACAGTTTGACCTGCTTTCAACAACTGCTGCATGCGAAATTGGATTAGAAGTTTAGGCTTGGTACAGTACAGATATTAACATGTGTATGATGCAGCACGTAGGCTTTCCTGAAAGTCCTGATACCATCGTCCCTTATTTAGCGACACCACTCTAACGTCGGAATCGTTACCCCCAAGATTTTGAAACTTAGCTTCCGGTTCCTCTTGTAATTAATTTCTTCTCTTTGTTTTGTTTCTTTTTTCAGCCAGAACGAGTTAATCGTCCAGCAGATGCCGAGCGGAACGACGCACTACAACCCGCATTATCGCCAACTGATCATAGTGTTACAAAGTTATGATAAGATATGTGTCTATGTTTTAAATTTGGGTTGGTGTAAAACGCCTTCTGTCAAGCCCACAGCATTCCTAACATGCACCTTTATTCATGACAAACTCTTGGGCTACGTTTGGGTTTTCAAGTCTGTTCAGTGGGTGTTTTATACCAATGGTATACTGTTTGTTTGTTTGTTTTTTTACATTAACATTATCACCGTCATTATTGAAATCACTGCCGGATTAAGCTATGGGCTTGGCAGGCTGACGGCTAGGGTTTAAACACATAGGGTTCCCAGGCCAAGGTCAGGCAGCGCTGGATTAACCTTCCGATTTGGCGGGCTGGAGCCTAGGGTTTCAACACCTAGGGTCCTCCGGACAAGGTCAGGCAGCGCTGGATTTACCTACAGACTTGGCGGGCTGGAGCCTAGCGTTTCAACACCTAGGGTCTACCGGTCAAGTTCAGGCAGCGCTGGATTAACCTACCGACTTGCCATGTCGAAGCCTAGTGTCTCAAATTTACAGGGCCTCCAGTCTTGGGTGTGTAATAGTTTTGTCACTGCCATATGCCGGGGTCTTAAACGCCAGCTACCTCGACCGGCTTTATTCAATTTTGTTTAGTATAGTATTCGGCACCGATTGAAATAGTGAAACTATTGTATAGCACTCACAACATATCTTTTTTTCACTTTCTAGTAAATGTACCGATTTAGAATCGTTATCGTGATCTAGTCATCAGCACTGATTAATCATATATTAACCAGCCCTATATTAGAGGGATAGAACGATGTAGATTGAAACGGTTACGGGATGAAACGACCTACTGCCAGAATGATACATTGATGCCAAGTCGGGCAGTTAGCAATTCATCATAACTGACAAATATGTTAAAAAGTGCAACATTTTGTAAAGCCACTATTCATCTTCTTCTGTTTTTTTCTTCTAGATAATATTTTATTATATAATAACCAATTTGTAAGTTTTCTAACGTCGGCGTCGGCGATCTATTTTCCTGCTTTCTATGATAACGGGAGATAACCGGTGATGGCCTGACCATACCATTCGATATTTATTCATTTTTCAGGCGCCTCGTGCGTGCCTTTTATTTGAATATCAATAATATTTTTTTGTTGTTTTTTTAAGATAATTGATGTGTTTCTATATTTATAAAATCTGCTGGAGTGACACGGTGTTTTTAATGTTACACCAGCACCAACTGGATTATATTGTATCACTACCGGATCATTGATATACTAACCTCTAACAGGGATGTCAACAAGCATTCTGCGTGCTTCATTATTACACAGTTTCCTCGTCAAAAAATAAACACCGTCTCAGTTGTGTCTACATGTTGAAAGCCATCTTGTTTGATAAAAAAAACAGAAACCATTTCAGAAATTCCTGTAAATTCTGCTGAACAGCGGGAAAATGAACATTTCTGTTTATTACTGCAAAGACATCATCAGGATATATGAAGAGTACAGGGGAAGAACGATCTAAGTCACATTTTTGTCTTTCCGCATAAAAGGCAAAACATACTTTTGGACGAGAATGCTTGACGCGACCAGAACAACGAGTGGGTTTAATTACAACTTAAAAATGATGTTTAATACGAATCATAATTACCAGTACAACAACTGACTTCAACTTTTCAGCCAATTTAAGGTCAAATAAAGGGTACAATAGAGGTATTTGTCCTGGAGGCCATTTCAAAAGGGCCTTGGTTCAATGCGACTCGGATCGTTTTTACCTGAAATTGATTGTTCCACAGAAAGCTTATACAATTCGCTACCAGATGGCGCCATTAACTGGGGTTCGTTGGAAAAGTGACTTAGATCGTTCTTCCCCGGGGATCTTCATATGATTTTGAAAAATGACTCTATTTTGGTGCGTTACCAAATCATTTGTGTTTAAGTTTTGACGAGTTGTGTAACGTTTGATTATATAACTGACTAAGTGTGAATATATGTGTTTGTTTTTGAGATAACTCATTTTTTAAATCTTTAATAAAATTCTGTTAGAAAAATTTGATCCTCTTGGATTTTATACTTTTTCAGCTATCCCTCAAATGTGAAACAGGTGTGATACAGGTGTACTGACCCGTCTGATTTATTCTTTTTTTTTTTTAAACAATATTTTTATTCATTAAATCTGAATTAGGATTGGGGAACAGGCTATGCCTATGTGTGACCCCTCTCTCTGATTTAGGTACATGTACACATTATAAATATTTACATACATACATACATACATATATACATAATTACATAATTATAGAGCATATATGATACATCATGGATAATATAGAGACTTAGATGATTACACAGAGTGCAGGGCTTGGAATGACTTAAGAGTTGTTTATGGAGATTTAAATCTTTTTGATAAGGAAATAAATTGTTGGACTTCTTGGAAAATAAGTGTGTTTATCTCTGGACTAAGTTTTGTTGACCCATACAACAGACAACTGATTGTTTTATGATTATGTTGAAGGTTATGGATTGTCCGTTTTCTTGCATCTGAATATAAGTGGCATACGAGTAAGTAGTGTTCGGTATCCTCGAATTTGTGACCACAGAGGCAAGCAGGGCTATCATCGACGTGTCTGAGGAATTTATGGCCTTGTAGGTTCGAGCAGCATAATCTTAGTTTACAGTGGATTATTTGTAATTTTCGTATCCCAGTATAGTAATATGATGGCACGAAGGTGTCTAATTTATTTAGTGAATTTCCAAAGATAGCAAGGGATCGAGAGTTTCTAATTTCAACGTTAAGTTTGTTCCATTCTCGTATACTGGAAGGGATGAAGGACTCTGAGAAAATTTCGGTTCTGCATCTGGTTTCCTTTAGTTTATCTTTGTTTCTAAGGGTATAATTGATAGGGGTAGAGGACAGTTCTAATAGGTCAGAGAGATATGATGGAACGAGGTTGTTAGTAATTTTGTACATTAATTTTAATTTATGACGTCGACGTCTTTCCGAGAGTGGAACAAACCCAGTCTCTTTATAGAGTAAGGCATGGCTAGTACCTCTTACCGCCCCACAGATAGTGCGCAGTGCATCTAATTGTAGGGATTCTAGTTTGTTAGCTAAATAATCACTGCACCCATCCCAGATAATGTCGGCATAATCAAAGTGTGGAATGATAAAAGAAGAGTATATTATGTTTAAAGATTTTCTATTTAATCGATATTTTAGAGAACGAAGGCAATTTACTAGTTTGGATACTTTGCTTACAATGCTATCTATATGATTATTCCATTTACAGTTAGTTTGAAAGATAAGACCTAGATGTTTATGTTCACTTACTTCTTTGATTTGTACCTGGTTCATAAATAATGGTGGGTTAACTATGTGGGGTTTAGTAGTAATAGTCAGTGTCTCTGTTTTTAGGGGGTTAAAAGTTACCAGCCATGTCTCAGCCCAATTTCTGATTCGATTTAAGTCATCGTTAATGGTAGCAGCACTTGCCTCTGGGTCTTCAATTTTTAAGTATAAAGAGGTATCGTCAGCAAATAATCTAATGTTTGAATTTATATTGTTCACAATATCATTTATGTATATTAAGAATAAAAGAGGGCCTAGTACAGATCCCTGTGGAACACCAGCAGGGATGCTTCTGGGGTCCGAGGAGGTGCCACTGATGGTTACACATTGTTGTCTATTTTTTAAATAATCTACGAACCAGAGCAGTAGATCTCCTCGAACCCCCGCAGCATCCAGCTTGTGACAGAGTCCGGCATGCCAAACCCTGTCAAAGGCCTTGCTGATGTCACAGAAGACTATTCTAGTATATTGATGTTGGTCAATGGCTCGACAGAAGAAGTGTGTTAGGTCGATTAGTTGAAATATGGTAGAATCACCTGGAAGAAAGCCACTCTGGACAGGTGTTAGTATTGAGTTATCTCTAAGGAAGTTAAAGACATGTTTGTGGATGATTTTTTCAAAAATTTTGACTATTATACTTAAGAGGGAGATTGGTCTATAATTACTACAATCGTTTGGAGAGCCTTTTTTGAATATAGCGACCACGTTTGCAAATTTCCAAATGTTTGGTACAATGTGTAGATCTAATGATAGTTTAAAAAGTTGGCAAAGTGGATGACTGATTTCTTTTGAGATGTATTTTAGAATTCTCGCGTTTATTTCGTCGGGTCCTGAGGCTTTTGTAATATCTAGGCTGTCTATTATGTCTTTAACTTCCTCTGGATTTGGTACAATCTTATCGATGCTGTTAGGGTTCATAACAAGCAGTGGTAGGGATTTATTAGTGCTATCTAGTTGTGATTGTTTGATGAAGAATGAGTTTAAAGCATTTGCTTTTTCGGATTGAGTAAACACAGTGTTACCGTTAACTGTTAAGGGCGGTGGTTCGTTTGTAGAAGCAGCGTGTGTTTTAGTATATGAATTAATAAGTTTCCACCAGGTTTTTGTTCCAAAGTTTTCTGTGTCACTAATTTGTTTGTCTATTTTGTCAAAGTAATCATTTTTGCTTTTTCTAATTAAGTCTATGTAGTCATTTCTAATTTTCCTGAAATTTTGCCAATCAGAGTCTGAATTCCTATTTACCGCTTTTTTGTGTAATCTATTTTTTTTCTTTTTCATACGTCTTATTGCGCCATTCATCCAGGGTTTGTCATGTTGCCTAATAGTCACTATTTTGCATGGTATATTTTCTTTTGCTATATTGATCAATGAGCTTGTAAATTGAACACACGATGCTTCTACATTTGAGCTATTGATAAGATTGTACCATTTAGTAGCTATAACGTCCCTTTTTATTCCCCCAAGGTCTGCGTTTTCATAATTCCATACCGTTCGCTTGAAGCTGTGTTGTTTTTGTACGTTAAATGCCAATTTGCAATATACCGGACAGTGGTCACTACAGAAGTTGTCAAGTACACCATTTTCAGTTGTTCGTAATGTAGAGCTGGTTAATATCAAGTCTATTAAAGAAGTGTGGTTTTTGCTGGAATAATGGGTAGGTTTATTTATCAGCTGGGTAAGGTCGAATATATTTATAGCATCGTGAATAAAACTTTTAGATTTTTTTAACATATCAATATTGAAGTCACCTAAAATTATGCATTTGTCCAAGGGGTCGCTTATAGCATTTTGAAGAGAGTTAAATATTTGTTGGTTTGTACTAGAAGTTGATGAGGGTGGTCTATAATAATTGCCAAGTAAAAATTTGTGGTTGTTACAATTTGCTTCTATCCATATAGACTCTATTTCACTGTTTTCTAGATCAGCCCTGCGTTTGAACGATATGGAATTACGAACGTAAATAATAAGTCCTCCCCCATGATTATTTCTGTCTTTCCTAATAGGTGGGTAGTAAGAAGGTAAAGAAATTGATTCAGATGTGGTATTTCTATCGAGCCAGGTTTCACTAATTGTTATGATGTCAAAATGTCTTAGTTCTACAGCTATTAAGTCAATTTTGTTTTTGAAACTCCTTACATTCAGATGAACAATTGAAAGTTGATTATGTATTAATGAGGCGGGTCCTGGATTTAGTTCGATGTCTCCTGACAATAGTAACAACGTATATATTATAAGGGTAATTGAGAGCAAAGCATTTGCACTAAGTGTTACATGTGTAAGCTTCCTATTAGGAAAATTATTCAACTTATGCTTATATAGTGATTCGGATGATGGGTCTTCAAAAGATAGTCCTGAGATTTGACAGTATTGCAGGTGTTTGTTTAAACGTACGTGGTATTGGTTGCTTGTCGTAAATGCAGTTGTTTCCAAGGGTATGGTATATAGGGAATTGACAGTTTTCTTCAGTTCAGAAAGTACTTTATGTATCAAACTAATATGTTTAAATATATAATTGATAAGATCGAATAAACGTAAATACAAGTCGTAAATAAAGGTGTAAAACAATACAACATATGTACATGTACGGGTATATATACATGGCTGCGAATAGAAAGGGTGAATGGTTCAGGTTTCTACATTGTTCAGTGAGAAGTCTTACGGAAGATGGTTATGCGTCTGGATAAACAAGTCTACTTGATCAGTATCCTGCATGAAATTGGCAGTATGCCACCCACGTGGTTAATCTGGGTCAACATTGTTTGAAAGGGGACATGGTTTACTGTTCTGGAGTGAGTAAATAACTGTTTCTAATCTAATGTTTTGTGTATGACAGATGGAGTTATAGCTCTTTCATGTGTGCATATTTTACTTACCTCTTGTTATTTCATTTTCAATGCCCTACTTTAATAGTACTTACCTTGGAAACAGAATAGCCTTTGAGTATGGGATTATGATGAATGAGAAGAACGTAGGAATAGATCTTATTATTTTGGGTGCATTGCCGTCTATCGGCAATTTAAATTTATAAATTTGTATTTATATAAATGAATTTAGGACCAGCGTGACATAGGCCAATTGTTGTGAGCCTTTTGGTATATATATATATATATATGTATGTATATGTGTGTAGGGTGGGAGAATTAGGTGTGTAATATTGGATTATACTGTTCTTTTTAAGATGGACATTTTCATACTAAAATTAACTTTTAGAATAAACTCTCAGTTTCAATGTAAGGATTGGCATACTATAGTTAATATGTGATAAAACAGGAATTTTGCCCATTTTAAGTTTGATAGCAATATGAACAATATAAAATATGAGCAAAAATAAAAAAAAATAAATAAACTAGTATTCTAATAAACTGTTGGCAGATCGATCCATAGAGACTGACAGTCATTAAGATTTATTTCTTAGTAGGGTGTAATAAGAATGATTTCGAAAGGCCTTAATTATGTTATAACTTTAACTTGAATTTGGATTTTATTTTGTAGGTTGAAAATGTTAATGCATCTTTAGTCCCTATGGATTTATCAGTGGAGGAAGGAAGTCTAAAGTACAGGTAAGAGACACATTTACAAATTACATAGCATATGTATTTGTGAGGGCTAAAAATCCTTCGAACTGGGTGAGAAGTAAGATCCTTTTGTAACATTTGATTTCAGATATTGGTTTGTTTGTTGGTTATGTGACAGGCTGCACAGAGAATATTCCCTATTCATCTAACAACAATACACTAATATCTACTTAATTGTCACCCAAGTCAAAGAACTTTAGTTTCTTTAGTCTGTATAATACATTATTTACTGGTGACATATATGGGACATCTTCCTTCACAAAATTGCATATATAGAGAGATAAATAATGGATGTTATTCAATACAAGCTTAAAAAGTTCAAATTTCTAACTTAATCTACATATTCAGCAGTCGTTATGATTAGGGGTTGGTTTGTGGCAACAAAGTTTGATTGTCTTGCATAGACTTATTTCAACTTTAAGTTAAGGGGATTTGAGGGTAATAATAAGAGCACTTTAATACTTCATTTTTGTAGCAAAAAGTGGACTTTTGGATTGATTCTTGGTTTTAGAGAATAAGCTTCAACATATAAAATATCAATTTGACATTATCACTTAGAGACATTATCACTTGTTTCATAGTAAGGCGTAGTTCAAAAGATTTCGAAAGGCTTTGTTGGATAAATAATGTTAACGAGCTACACATGAGCCAACTCAAGGTACTAAGCAAGTACATCTTACATTGATGCTTATTTTGGATTTTGTTTTTTAGGTTGAAAATGTTAGTGTCTCTTTGGTATTGCCATGTAGTTATTATTGTAATTCACCAGTGGTTTATCACTATTAATACTCATTGAGCATGTAACGAAATGGACTTATTTATTATCCTAAGGTAGCATGTATATATATATATATATATATATATATATATATATGTATATAACTATGTATTAATTAAATTTCAGTGGTAATTGTAAATATTTTAGATTATACTGGGAGAAGATTCGTAAATTGTACAATTTGTTCTGATCCCGTTTGTATTATACAAATATACTTATATGTATGTACATATATTTTCAAATAAACCATACCGATTAAAAGAAGTTTTCGGTTGAATCATATTATCATAAAATATATCTTATTTCATATAGTCTTACGTATTTGCCAACATCAAGGTGAACTTGTTCTATTGTTCCATTTAGCCTATTCAGATTTGTTCATTTTTTTCATACAAGTTTTAAACAAATTTGATGATAGTTTTCGAGAGAATGTAACTGGCCATTTATTCGGCCGTTTTGCAGAGCGCCATTACATTATCCAGTTAGGCTACATAATGTATATAATTCATGTTTTTGAAATGTTAAATTATTCTGTACCGGTTGTATTTCTGCCGTTGAAACAAGTCCTAATATTGCGATTGGTTGGCCCTCAGTGTAGAGTCAGAATAACAAGTCGATTTTATTCAATTTTCCAGAAACCCAGATCTGCCAGTCTCATTACTTTTGGAATGTTTTAGGTATTTTACAAAGTCGCCAGTTTTTGAGTGAAAGTAAGAGAGAGAGGGAACTCTCATAACAGATCGAGTCTAGATGGCCACAGATCACCAAATATGTCTACGCCGTCACCCACGAATGTTTTAGTCGTTCTCTCCCTTTCCCCTTTTTATCCTTTTGCATGGGAATTTTTGTTGACTTTTTGGTGTAGAATCGACGAAAAGGTTTTGAAAATACATTTTCTGTCAGTTTTTTGTGAATATTCATGATACAAGAGTTGAGAGATCGGTTAGATTGAAATGTAGTGTCGAACATTGCAGGATTAGTTATCTCTACTTCCAGCTTTTGCATCTCAAGTTTTTCATGAAGAACCTCACACGTGCTTTTGGGCAAGAGGTTGCCACATGTGGCAGAAAGCGTTCTACCCAACGAAAATTTGGGAAAAAGTTAGAGCCGGTCTAAGAGACGAGAATTAACATTAAAGTCAATGGGGAAATCATTAGTGATCTGTGGCCATTCAATGCCTGTGTTTGATTATTTACAGATGTAGAATACACTTGGTATAAAGATGATTTACCTTTTCGAGATGATATTAATATATTTCCATCACAGAATGGGAGACGGATCAGTGCCAGAAACAGAGAATAGTTCTGCCATCAACGTCTTGTTACAGATCAAGGTGGGTAGGGTTAATTATATCCCATTATATCGAATTTCGCACTGACAGCGGTGCTGTGGCCTACTCTTATTTCGAATTCCAACTGTTAAGGTTGTTTTTCCACGTACACGAGATCTCTGTTATCGTACCATCCGAACGATTAGATATGGTCCTAGTCACCCCTCCCCCCCTCGTCCTACGCCACTGATAATGGGAAACGGCACCGGTAAATCTTGAAGAACTTTCTCGACAAACACCGGGAGCAAAGTTAGCGTCTTACTCACTGAGCCTTCGCGGCCTCCTCTTTTGTTTCTGCAAGAAGGAGTCAAAGTAGATTATAGCGCAGTTCTATTCTGGATATTGTTTGTACATGGACCTTAAATTTTCTACTTTGTCAGGTATGTCGTCGTGGATTTCCTTGTCAATGGTGCAGGACGCAAGACCTAACAAGGAGCAACCCCTAGTCATTCGTTCGGATGGGACATAATACCGAGGTCCCGTGTAAACATACATACAAGAACCCTTGATAGTTGGGGTAAAATTTTCCGCATAGAAGTCTTAATAACCAGAGTGGTGCCAAAAACTAGGCCGTTAAACTCCTTTAGTAAAAATGACCAAATTAAAGCCTCTACCCCACACACAACACCCAGTGTTTAGTAAATATAACTAAATAGTTTCATTGAGATTTTACTTTCGGTTTTGTTTGTCTTTGAAAACATGTTCACATTACAACCATGCCGTTTTCCCGTATTCACCAATGAAAGGCGAAGATTTAAAATTAAGAGTGCACTGCTCTCGGGCGGTAAATACATGGCCATCGTTGATATCTTCTATATGAATAAAATTAAAGATGCCTGTGTGTGTGTTTTCGTCCATCACGCTTCGTCGCCGCGACACCCCCCACATTATGTGGTATCAAATTAGCAAGCATGACCCTGTGAATATTTTAAGCCACCGAATTTGGACCCCGGGCAAATTAGGCCTGGACTCTGGGCGAATCGGGCGTCGCTGCCGCGATCCATCGTCACATATTTAGTATCAAAGTACCAATATTGACCCCGTGAATGTTTTAGGCCATGAAATTAAGGCCCCGGGCGAATTGGGTCCCGGGCAAATTTGGACCCCGGTTGAATTTGGCCCCTGGCAAATTTTGGTAACTGGCAAATTTGGGGCCCCGGTGAATTTGCTTCCTGTCGAATTTGGGCCCCGGACGAAATTGGGTATCCTACAACACGCGAACACAGGAAATGATTAAATATGTAGATGTAGGGGCCTTGTGGGGAGGAACATGATCCCATGGAGTTGTGCGGGGGGGGGGGGTAGGAAACAAAAATCCAAGATTTATATTTTGGGGACGGGTCAGGCAAGGGATTTCTCCACTCTGGCGCCAAGATTTCAAGCGCTCTGTGGCTCATGCTAGATTCGATTTGTAGCATAGTTAAGTATATAGTTTATCAATATGAAGTAGGACATCTTTGACACAGGTTGACAAATATGAATTATTATGAAGTAATCAGATTAACTGTACATGAAAGTTCTTGTTGAGTGGATCAACGAGTCTCAGAAGAGAAAATGCAATTGAAGAGGGAAAGAACGATCCAAGTCAGATTTTTGTCTTTTCGCATAAAAGGCGAAACAGACTTTTGGACAAGAATGCTTGACGCGAACAGAACAACAAATGGGTTTAATTACAACTTCAAAGTGGTGTTTAATACCAAATTAAGGTCAAATAAAGGGTACGATGGACGTATTTGTCCGGGAGGCCATTTTAGAAGAGCCTTTGTTCGATGCGACTCCGATCGTTTTTACCTGAAATAGATTGTTCCACAGAAAGCTTATACAATTTGCTACTAGATGGCGCCATTAACTGGGGTTCATTGAAAAAGGGACTTAGATCATTCTTCCCCTGGAGTCTTCAATTATATAAAATATAGACACACTGTAGGCTACGCTCTAGGTCCTGAAAACCACATTTCCCTCTAAACCCGTCAGTATGCCCCTTCCATTACCTCCTGCTGGTGAGAAGACGTTTAGTTGAATAGCGGCATTTTTGCATAATTTTGTTTCAATTGTTAATTCCACGGGCCAAGAGACCTAAAGCGTACCATCCAAACGACTAGGGACAACACATTCATTGTCCAGATTATTCTAGTCGACAAGCCTTTATGGTGAACTCGAATTGAAATGAAATATAATGTTTATTCATTTTGCCTGATTTCAGAGCTGGGACCTATTTCTTGCACAAAAGGTGAAATGAAATGAAATGAAATGGGGTTTAACGTCCTATTTTTTTTACACTGACTGGGCTAATGAAGACAGACAAACGTCATACAGTGTGCTATAAAGGAACAGGAAATACGATGTGTTGTAAGAGAAAACTTCATACTGTGTGCTATATGGCAAAACGTCATACAGTTAGTGTGCTATAAGGCAAAACGTCATACAGCCAGTGTGCTATAAAGCAAAACGTCATACCGTGTGCCATGAGGCAAAACGTCATACCGTGTGCTATAAGGGAACTTTTGCTCGGAGAGTGGCATTTCCACCTACCCTTTCAATGACAGTGGTTCTGTTACGTGGACAGCGACTTGTACACGGGACCTCGGTTGTTCGTCCCATCCGAACGACTAGACGTGGACTGTTAAAACAGTAAAGGCCAACTTACAACAATTAATACTGGTTTGTGAAAGGTAAACACACCTATCGACAGACAGTGGGCGTTAGAGACCTTTACAAAACGATGTTACATTGACAATTTTTGTGGCTGAATCGTATTGTATCTATAGAATTCAGCTAAATCATTTTTTTTACCCGGATATTAAATTTTAGCTAAAACATATTTTACCCCCTATTTTAAATTTCAGCTAAACCATATTTTATCTTGATATTAAATCATTTCTGTGTATTTCAGCTAAAGCATACTTTACCCAGATATTACATTACATCTGTATATTTCAGCTAAACCGTATTTTACCCAGATATTACATTACGTCTTTATATTTCAGCTAAGCTATGTTTACCCAGATATTAAACCATAAACCGTATTTTACCCAGATATTAAATAACGTCTGTATATTTCAGCTAAACCATATATACCCTGATATTAAATTTCAGCTAAACCATACTTTACCCAGATATTAAAGGATGAACGTGTAACTGAGGGTAGTAAAGTATCATGGTGGTGTGAAGCTAATGGAGAACCAGTGCCATCTTATACGTGGATTAAGAACCAACAGATCATACGACCTATACCATGGGATATCGAGATAAAAGATAATGTTTTAACGATCCATGCAGCGTATACACGACGTGGAGGCCTGTATCAGTGTCAGGCTAAAAACATCCATGGTTCAACGTATACTAGTGCACAGTTGTGGGTATCAGGTAGGTTTTAATGACATTCATTGACTTTAAATATTTTCTTAGCCAAGGAATCGTGTGAACAATCTGCACTATCATTGGGCATATGTTTCGTTGCCCTGCAAGCTTTATTTCTAACCTAAGAATATATATTTTCAGATGTTAAAGTTGTTGGTTAAGGAGGTGATGAGTACCATGGTATTAGTCACCAGATGTTTATATAATCACAGTAGAAGATATGGTCAATGTTTCACCAGATGAATAGTGAATATATTTCTGATCTTAAAGATACATCCAGTTATCTCCCTTGATCACTCAATACTAACAAATATTAAAGATACATTATGGGAAATTAGATAAAGAGCTGACAGTTCCCGCTATAATAACTAAAAACTAGATAATTTTAAGGGAATTTGCTGAAAATTTCAGTCAAATTAATCCAATCAGAACCGCGAATTTAGTGATTGAATTGTAGGCCTAGCCTCGATCATCATTACTAAAGTCGGTATAAGCAAGATAAAGTCTTCGATTTCGGTTATGCTGGGGAAGAATAATATATATATATGATATAAGGTTTTTCTTAGGAGAATTCTGGGATATTCTCATTTTAAGTACATGAAAACATAGACGGTTTATAAGCAAGATAAAGTCTTCGATTTCGGTTATGCTGGGGAAGAAGGACTTCAGACGCCCCCTCTCCCTCTCCCAGTATACCCCCAGTCCAGTGGTCCTCCACCTTATTTTGCCAATGGCACACCTTGGAACACATGAAAAAATACCGGCACACCTGGCTAAATTTTGCAAAATAAAAACATAGTCAGACGGCATACAACCGTAGACAGAGACTAGTCATAGACATATATATATATATAGAGAGAGATAGGTTTAACGTCCACTCGACACAAACTAGGTCATTTCGGGACTAACATATGGTTCAATTTTATTTACATAATTTGCTTGCGCCTAGGGGTCTTTAGCAGTGGGGGGTAACCGGAGGACCCGGAGAAAACCCACGAAGTTGGACAGACAACCCTACTCAATGACAGACTTTATGATACACCATTCAGCCCCCCCCCCCCATAGACATATAGAAGGCTCAAATTACATAACGACTAGACAGCTGTCCTTGTCAGAACCTCCGTCATGCAGGCATCACTGACAAGGGGGAACTACACCTGAAAATCTGGACGAACATTCTCGGCCAATGCAGGGATCGAACACCCGACCTCCAGGCTAGCGAACCAGCGTCTTACCCACTTAGCCACCGTGACCCCTACTACAAAAATATGTCTAATTAAACATGCTAAATAAATGTCACATTTGAATCTAATTCTGTCCAATTGGTACCAAGTGATAATCGTGTATTGACGTACTTCATCTGAAAGTATTACCCAGAATTTTTCTAGCATACAGAAGAGGAAAGTATCAAGTTTGGCTTAAAAGATAAATGTACACTGACCCCCCGGCAGATCCTATACTAAAACCCATGGGTTTGTAAGCCAAAAGTACAAAGGAAATTTGTGTTTTACAAATGGGAGTTAATTTCTAGTCTGTAGAAATAAATATAACAGTATAAATAAATAAATAGCCTCCGCACCCCCCCCCCCCCCCACCACCACCACACACTCAAACCAAAACAAACAAATAGAACATTTTTTTACTAATAATAATTAATCAGTTTACAGAGTATATTCAATAAAAATATTATTATATAACACTGTTAATATATAATGTCTTATATTACAACTAATAAATATTATTATATAACACTGTTAATATATAATGTCTTATTTTACAACTAATAATTATTATTATATAACACTGTTAATATATAATATCTTATATTACCATTAATAAATACTGTTATATAACAATGTTAATATATAATGTCTTATATTACAATTAATAAATAAGTTTAATTATACAAGTATTTTCCTTACAGCATGGAAACCACTGGGTGTACATCTCTTGATTTCAAGATAGATGCTATCGTCAAAATCATATTACGAAATTTGGAGTGACAATAAACAGGGCATACACCCGTTTAAAATTATGTACCTCTTGTCAAATAGTGTTTTCTATAAGGAGCCGCGGTGACTCAATGAATAAGACACTGGCACGCTAACCAGAAGGTCACAGGGTTATCTCCTGGTGTTGGCCCAGAATGTTCTTCGGGACTTCCCCTTGTCGTTGGTCGGTGGTGCAGGACGGACAAGAAAGAACGTCTGGTCGTTCGGACCAGAAAAATTTGATTATTATGAAGAACATTTACAGAAAAATTTGACTATATGAACATTTATAGAAAATTTTAATTATTTTTATATTTACAGTAAAATTTAAACATTTATAGAAACGTTGAACTCTATTAACATTGATAGAAAAATTTGACTCTATCAACATTTGACCATTTTAACATGTACAGAAAAATTTGACTATATGAACATTTACCGAAAAATTTGACTATTTTAACATTTATAGAAAAGTATGGATATATTAAAATTTGTGACCTTGACTCAATTTGGGATTCCAACCTCGTGGGTTTTCTCCGGTACCTCCGGTTTCCTCCCACTGCTAAAGACCCCTATGCGCAAGCGAATTATGGAAATAAAGTTGAACCATGTGTTGATCCCGAAATGACCTAGTTTGTGTCGAGTGGACGTTAAACCCCATTTCTCTCCCTCTCCCTCTCTCTCTCTCTCTCTCTCTCTATCTCAATTTGGGATATGATTTGAAGGGGAGATAACCACCATAATTGATCAAGATGGAGAATAAATAAACAAATAAACGGTAAATAAAATCAAGCGACTCACAATTTTAACTTTTCTTCTAATAATTTAATCATTTCATCAGACTCTACTGAATACCTACAAAAATCTAAAGGTGTTTGACCAGATCTGTTTATACTCTTTATATCTAAACCAAGTTGGAGTAAGTAGTCTACAGTTTCAAGACAGCCATACTTACAAGCTAGGTGTAAAATATTGTTATTGGCTGTATCTATATCATATATATTACCGCCGTTATCTAATATCATTTTAATTTTAGAAACGGGTTCAATGTCTGATTGACTGCAATATAATATTGGTGTTCGACCATATAAATCCCTACTATGAAAGTCTAAACCAAGTTGTAGTAAATACTGTACAGTTTTAAGACGACCAAACTTACAAGCTAAGTGTAACACATTGTCATTGATTATATCTCTATCGTCTATATTACCACCGTTATCTAATATCATTTTAATTTTAGAAACAGGTTCAATGCCTGATTGACTGCAATATAATATTGGTGTATTATCATAAAGACCCGTACTATGAACGTCTAAACCAAGTTGTAGTAAATACTGTACAGTTTTAAGACGACCAAACTTACAAGCTAAGTGTAACACATTGTCATTGATTATATCTATATCATCTATATTACCACCTTTATCTAATATCATTTTAATTTTAGAAACAGGTTCAATGCCTGATTGACTGCAATATAATACTGGTGTCATGCCCCCTTCAAACCTCTCATTTATATCATGACCAGATTCAATTAAATCCTTTAGATTATTTAAATCCCCCTTTAGACACGCATCATCCAATGTAAGAATGTTTTGTCAGTTTTTCCTACAGCAGAAACAAATCACTGTACCACTATGGGGTGAGTTCATGGCTATCATTGAATACCTCGTGATTTAATCACATCAGTTTGAAATAGAGATTACATAATATACTATTCAAAAAAAGTAGGGGATATTTGATTTTTAAGTGTTATTAAAGTCACCTAATGAAACTGACGAAGAAACAAATGACAAAATGAAATGAAGTTCACATTTATCGATTTATTCCAAATGATCGTTAGACTAAGTAAGGCACAGACTGACCATTATAAGGGTAAAATGATACCCGGGGTCAAACAGCAAAGTTACCACAGCATCACAACCAAGTCAGTAACGGGTAAATCCTCCTCTGTTTGCCAAACAAGCATTGATCCGACGTGGCATACTCCTAATGAGACGTCTAAGGTCATTTTGGTCCAGATTGTCCCATTCCTGTTGCAACGCAGCAGCAAGTTCTTGGACATTGGCAGGACGTTGTTGACGTTGACGTAACCTCTGTCCAAGCATGTCCTAGACATGCTCGATGGGGGAGAGGTCGGGACTCAGTGCTGGCCAAGGTGATGTGGTGATGTTCTGTTGTTGGAGGTAACCTGTAACGATCCTGGCCCTGTGACATCTTGCGTTGTCATCCTGGAAGATGAAACGGCGGCCATGACGTCGTGCGAACGGCACAACATGGACTGCCAAGATGTTGTCCCGGTAGTACTGGCCTGTAACACGCCCTGCAACAACATGTAAAGCCGTTCTTCCAGCAACAGTGATGCCTCCCCACACCATAACAGAACCACCCCCAAATCGATCATGTCTGATGACGTTAACGTCTTGGAAGCGCTCGTTTCGACGACGCCACACCCTCCTACGTCTGTCCAAAAAATCAACAGTGAACCTTGACTCATCTGAAAACATCACATTGCTCCAGCGTCGATTATCCCAGTGTTGACGATCCCTACAACAACGACGTCTTGCCTGAATGTGATGATCTCTCAAACAAGGGATCACGCGAGGACGTCGGGCGCGAAGGTGACCCCTATGCAGTCGATTCCGAATCGTCTGGCCACTCACTCTCACACCAGTGTCTGTTTGAAGACGAGCGCTGATCTGATTTGCTGTGATGACACGATTTCTCAAGGCCAAGGTACGGATAAATCGATCCTGGGCCTGAGTTGTCGCCCTTGGTCGACCCGAGCGTGGTCTGTCCTGTACAGATTGTGTATCAAGGTATCTGGACCATAGCCTGCTTATGACAAACTGAGAAACATTCATCGTCCGCGCCACAACCGCCTGTGTTGTGCCGATCTGTAGCATGCCAAGGGCACGTAACCTTTCATTTTGGGTAAGCCGACGCATATCAAAATTTGTTTTCTGGTCAATAAAACAATTAAACTGATGTTTCCACCCTGGAATTCAATGCCACAATGACTGTAACATTCAAAGTCAGAGTCGTGCAAATCTTGGGTTGGACCCCCATGATGATCCCAAGCATCACATGCATTCCATGCGGTAGCTATTGGTGCGTTTGGGCGTCACAAGTTACTGGAAATGTTTCTTCTGTTAGGTTCTATAGTGACTTTTTTCGTAGTCATTTGCATATTTTAGTATTATGCCCCCAAAATCAAATATCCCCTACTTTTTTTGAATAGTATATATGACTAGTTTTCTCTATTTTGTTAGTCACGAGATCCACCTCATCCACCTCCAGTTGCTAATTTGGGACAGAACATTTTGACTTCTCAATTTTGGATACTGCTCAATTTCTTGTGCTCGACAATTCCTCATTAGCAGATATGCCCTAGTTATTTATTTCAAAATATTTTATAGAAAGCACCAACCTTGGAAACAGTAAATATCTGGATGAAGATGAAAATATTGAAGCGTTGGGTAAGTTGAATATCACAAACAAACTTTTCTTAAGCTTACTGTTGATTGTAAAGGTACGGATGATAAATAATATTTCAATGTATAATCAAGGGGACATATATTGACTTTCCGGAACATATTTCAGGAACATCATTTCAAATATCTTCACGATGCATCAGTCTACTAAATGATGGATTTTGTTTGGTTAATTACATATCTGATTCAATGCATTCATAGGATATGGCAACAATCTTGGGATGTTGTAGAGCGTGTCCACGAGAGCACCATGCAGAAATTGAAAAAAACGATAACCCGGGGGGTCAGCAAATTTCAACCATACTTGGTCTATGGGGACCCCTAGGCGACAGAAGTCACATGATGGAGTGAAAAAATTTTGAACGGACAACTTCCGGTATAATTGGAAATTGTTATTTTGGGGCAAAAGTTGACATATTTCGACCAATTTGTTACCCTAATTTCAAAACGCTCCTCCCCGAAAAGTTGTGTCTCTAAATTTTTGATATTGGTCAGGTATGATAGGCCTAGTAGTCGTCCTAAAATCCTGCAGTCGTTTGGGAATGAATGAATCGTGTGGAATTTTCTGTGAGTGATCATAAAGTGGTCATTTTACATATGTTTAAAACTATGCTATCCTAAAACGCATGTAGCTGCTTCTTTGCAGGTCTGACATAGAATTGCTTGGTGTGGTTGTGAAGGGCATTTCTCAAAGTAAATGTCAAAAGAAAAAAACTGTAATATTCTGAAAATGTGTAAAAACGGTATTTTCCACGAAATTCGTCTTTTCACTGATGACCGAATACTATTTTCAAGAGTTCGAATGACCGTTGATTATGAACATTAGTACTATTTTTTGTTACTTGAACGTTCCTTGTGCTAAATATACTATCTTGGTTAAAAATCATGAAGTTTTTGTGACAAAATCGGACGTTCGCGGTCATCGTAGGAAAGGGGCTTAACTGGTGTATAATTTTGCAGGATCAGGCAACGATTATTCTCACCTGTATTCAGTAGTTAATAGCACGGAAGTGCATAAATGTAAGGACTGGCATAGCAAGCTTTTATATTAGCACAATTTAACCAAAGCAGCACCTTTTTCAGCAATGACCAACGATTATCTTCAAATGACTACTGATCATCACCATTACTTGTAATATTTCGTAATTTCAACGTGAATCGTGTCAAATAGATCATTTTGTTTAAAATCGTAATATTTTTGTGACAAAATCTGACTTTCACGCTTGCTTGATAGCCATAGGGAAGGGTCATAAGTGGTGTGTAATTTTGCAGGGATCAGACCACTGTTATTAAGATCTGTATTCATGAGCAGATCATCGTATAAATTTGACTGACATGACTATCATAAACTAGATATCTTTTAATTTGTACACCTGCTCATGTAAAGAAGAACCATAAGAAGAAACATTCAGAAGTGTTCATGTAGGGCCATTTAATGTCTGGTGTTGAAATCTCTGAATCATGGCATAGATCAAAACAGGATTTATGGCACTCCAGGATAATGTTGACCGCATGTGCCAAACTCCTACATATACCTACGTTCGCGCGGAAGTGCTCACTTACTTAGATTCCTACGTTCGAGTGTAAATGCTCTCTGACCTTCCTTCAAGGTTTTTGGACCACAGAGTACTGTTTTATTTTGTAGTACTGTTTTTGACCTCTTCTCCTTCAGGGATTTCAATATAGAATTATCATAGCCTCCCGATCTGTAATGCCTCTCCATGAAAACGTCCAAATGTTTCCATACAATGATCGGCTCCTAAATACAGATGGGAATAAGCTGGTCTGATTCCTAAAATATGTTTGACCAAAATAACCTATTTGGCACAAGGAACATTGGCAGAAAAGGTGTTGTATGGTCGTCTTGCTGATTGTGTGACTACGACTTACTGTCACTGGATCATCTACAATCCGCTCGTCCTTAAAACCTGTTACAAGAGCGAACATGTACATCCCTCAGAAACACTTCTTTTACCCAAGAGCTAAAATATGCTTACACCGAATCGTGTATCATATTTCACCTTTCATTACATCATATTTATAGAAGACGATTTGTTCTGTTTAAATTGCATTGGACATTCATGAAACTTGTCCCTGGTCTAAGGTCTGTCATTGAGTTAAGTGGTGTGACAGCATGCCGGTGACATGGTGTGGTGTTGTTTGTTCAACCTCATGGATATTCTCTTTTCCCACAAGTGTATTATTGAAGTAAAATTGTACCATATGTTAGTCCCAAAATGACCTAGTTTGTGTTGAGTGGACCTTAAACCCCATTTCTCTCTCTTAAGTCAAAATCACCCTTGCTAACAAATATATTAACTTTGTGATGATGTCCATAGATACAGTATGCATCACCATATTATGCTAGTCCCAAAATGACCTAGTTTGTGTCCAGTGGACTTTAAATCTCATTTTACTTTGTTCCTCTCATGTCTAAATCATCCTTGCTAACGACTAAATGGAATATATTAAATTTGTAAAGATGTCCATACATATACTTCATCTGGGGTATTGATAGACGGGACATTTTATCCTAATTTTTGGTGTTTTTAATATATTTCTCCTGTTTTTATTATGACTGTTCCGGTCATTTTTATTTTTTATTTTGTTAGTAGGAAGGTTGCTAGTTGTGGGTAACATTCAACTTTGGTCCTAGTCTCTGCAAAGAACGAGCTATGGCCTCTTAAACATTGGTTTTCATTAAATCCAATTTTCAGAGAGAGTTGGGTATCCGGCCAGTACCAAGGTAGCATTAGCAGTAGAAACTTCAAACTCAGTGTGAAGGAGGAACCTGATTGGTCCTACTAATGCCCAAAATTTTGTGTAGCCAAATCAATTATTGTCCGAATCAATCAATCTAATATTTTGTGGGGATGTATCTGGGTACTAACCCATCTCACAGAAAAAATTTGGTCCAAATCCCTGACGCAAGGGTTATCACCCCCTTCATGGTGCTCTCGCGGACACGCTCATAAAACCTTTCTTGGGAAAAATGAAATGAAATGGGGTGTAATATCCTATTGTTATGTTCCCACTGGGATAATGAAGACGGGCATAAGCCACCGGGAAGCTGCACTATAGCCTACTCTTATGTCGAATTCCAACTACCAAGGGATCTTTTACGTACAAGCCAATGTATACACGGGATCTCGGTTTTTCGTCCTTGTCAGGCCCTCCGTCCTGCGCCACTGACAAGGGGAAATCACGTCGAAACATCACGGCGAATTTGTTCGACTAATGTAGGAATCGACCACCTGACCTCCAGACTAGCGAGCCAGCGTCTTATAAACCACTTAGCCACCCCCACCCCCTTGGGAGACTGGCAAAATCCCTACAGAACGAACAGCGGGGATGAGTTTGTTTTGTGTCGCTCTCGCATTGGTCATACTCTTTTTAATCACATTTTCATCTTAAAAACCAGACCTTCAATCCGAATTTTAGCTAACTTGGAGGTCCCGTGTTAGAACCCGGTGTTGACTGTGGGAGTTAATCGGAATTTCTTGACGTGCCCTCCCCACCCATGTCAGTCGTTCAGATGGAACGAAAAACCATGGTCTTCTGTACACATTGGTGTGCATTGGCAGTTGGAATTCGATTTAAGAGTAGACCCAGGTGCTGCTGTCCGCGCACAATTTCCCTCATGAATTTCCCGCCTTCATTAGCCCATTAAGTTGAAATGAAAATAAATGGCAGGCCATAGCGCCGCTTTGTGGGCTACATTTCTTTCAAAGCACACCCTTGACAGTTGGAATTCGATATAAGAGTAGTCCATATTGCCGCTCTCCGGGAAACATTTCCTTCATAGCACAAAGTATAGCGTATGCCCGTCTTCATTAGCCCAGTCGGAGCAGAACGGTAGGACGTTAAACCCCATTTCATTTTATTTCATATATGTGATAGTTGTTTTTATTTATGTATGTGAATATATTTACATTTAATTTGTCTCGGTAAAATCACCATATGTTTGGCACTATGTTACCCGGTTGGAGCTGACGTACCATAAAACTCCATTTTATTTTATACATATCCCGGGTGAATAATTGTTGTTTCCCATAGAATTAATTTTAGGCTATTATCATAACGTAAGGATCTATTTTTAGATGTATATTCCCATGGCAACGGTCAACAACAAATTCATTCAGTTATTAGTACCGTCTCTGATTTGGGTTCTACGGCTGAATAATTTTTGTTTCACATAGAATTATTTTTTAGGCTATTATTATGACGTTATGGTCTATTTTAGATGCATGTTCCCATGGCAACGGTCAACAACAAATTCATCCAGTTATTAGCACTGTCACTGATGTGGGTTCTACAGCTGAAGCTAAAATAGGCTGCAATACTAACGAAGAACAGGATACCATATCCAAGACAAGGACGAGTTTTCTTACATTACATGATGCGTGTCTAAAGGGGGATTTCAATAATCTAAAGGATTTAATTGAATCTGGTCATGATATAAATGAGAGGTTTGAAGGGGGCATGACACCAATATTATATTGCAGTCAATCACAAATTGAACCCGTGTCTAAAATTAAAATGCTATTAGATAAAGGTTGTAATATAGATGATAGAGATACACACAATAACAATATATTACACCTAGCTTGTGAGTATGGTCGTCTTGAAACTGTAGACTACCTACTACATCTTGGTTTAGATGTTCATAGTAGGGGTTTTGATGATAATACACCAATATTATATTGCAGTCTATCAGACATTGAACCCGTTTCTAAAATTAAAATTATATTAGATAAAGGTAGTAATAGAGATGATATAGATACAGCCAATAACAATATGTTACACCTAGCTTGTAAGTATGGCTGTCTTGAAACTGTAGACTACCTACTACAACTTGGTTTAGATGTAGAGAGTATAAACAGATTTCGTGAAACACCTGTAGATTGTTGTAGGTATTCATTTGTTTCTAAATCAGACGAAAAGATTAAATTATTAGAAGAAAAATTAAAATTGTGAGTCGTGTGATATTATTTATTATTTAATTGTGTCAGTCCACTGTATTATCATTTTATTCCCCATCTTGATCAATTATGGTGGTTATCTCCCCTTCAAATCATATCTTTGATTTTCAGAGTAACGGCCACAAATTGTAATACATCCATACTATTCTATACATGTTAAAATAGTCAAATTTTTCTATTAATGTTAATTTAATACAATCAAACTTGTCTTTTAGAAAAACAAACTGTTCTATAAATGTTAATATAGTCAAACTGTTCTATAACTGTTAATATACAAACTGTTATATAAATGTTAATATAGTCAAACTGTTCTATAAATGTATATATTCAATCGGTAGATACAGGCATCACAACTTGTTATTATAATATTGAGATGTAATTCTGTACTGTATTTTGTACCTCTCATGAGAAACATCATGCTTCCTACTGGAGAAGTCGAGTATAATCGAAGCCCCCCCTCTCATGAGAAATATCATGCTATCATGCTTCTACTGGAGAACTCGAGTATAATCGAAGCCCTCCCCTCGAGGCCATGATTGCTGACGTCACCAAGAAAATGAAATAAAATGGGGTTTAACCCTTTAACTATTCTGCACCGACTGGGCTAACGAAGAGGGACATACGTTATACTGTGTGCTCTGGGGAGGATTTCGTCAGGACAGTTAGGAAATTTGAAATGAAAAGAAATAGTCTAACTAGGCTAATGAAAACTGTTAGGAAAGTTGAAGCTTCAGGTTTAATGGTATTATTTGATACCTTTCTGTGGCGTTATATGATGAATGTATATTTGTTGCTAGGGTTACATTAATTCTAACCGGATGTATGCCCTGTTTATGGCCAACCCAAATGTCTTAATACAATTATACATTGTAGTATCTATCTAGAGTTCAAAGAGATGGGCACCGATTGGTCCTCATGTGGTAACGAAAATACATTTTAGTAAATTAAAATTGTAATACAAGACATTATATATTAACATTGTTATATAATAATATTTATTAATTGTAATGTAAGACATATTAACATTGTTATATAAAAATATTTATTAATTGTAATATAAGACATTATATATTAACAGTGTTATGTAATAATATTTTTATCGAATATATTCTGTAAACTGAATAATTATTATTAGAAAATCTTTCTATTTGTTTTGGGTTGAGTAAGTGAGTGTGTTATCGAGCCTAGTTTTAGATCATAGGTTTAGGGTGGTCATCGTTTCAACACTGTCTATAGAGTGTTAAAGGCGTTGACAGATTCAGATGAATAGGAATCGTCCACTATTACACCACATGCCCAACCCCACGACTGAGTACAGCCGCTGATTCGCCGATTTTACGCGACAAAGAGTATGGTCGCCCGTCTACCCTCCTGGGGTTTCTCCGGGTCCGCCAGCTTCATCCCATGTTAAGACACCTATGCGCAAGCCAATTATGGAAATACAACTGAAACAAATGTTAGTTCCGAAATGCCTTAGTTTGTGTCGAGTGTTCGCTCGAAACCATAGAGTACTCCACCTTGATTCCTGATTATAATATTTGCTGGCCGAACAGTGTTTTACGGATTCCCTAAATATTGGTGCCTAAGTGAACACCGACACCCCGCACCATGGTGCTAATAGATTGTACATGAGTTAGAAAGTAGAGTGACGTAACTACAACCAGTCATTTCTATACAAATTGTCAAACAATCCTTGTAAAATGTGACGTCAACAGTCTAGATAACTCCAGTTGAATTCGGATTATCTCCCCTTTTCAAAAATGTGGCTTCACGACCTGTAAAATTTAAAAAAAATCCAATCAAAGAATAAAACACAGGACTTTATTCACAAAGAATTAAACTGTAGCCTTAGCCTGGGTACTAATTGTCTCAGTGGGTATGGTGCAGGGTCACTAACCACAAGAAGGTCTGGGATAGGTGTAAACGGTGATATCCGAGTCAAACCTCCTTTTGATAGTGAAAAATAGGACGCTAAACCCGATTTTCTTTTATCTTTTCCTACTCGGGTTTTGCAAAATTCGAGGTATGGCCTCAAATTTAATTTCTTGTTCTTACAAGCCTATTGTGTCTCTTCTCAGTTTTAAGAATCCCACCTGTGACCTCAGAGTCTTGATTATCAATATATACATACCTTGACTTGATTCGATAAAGTCAATATATACATACTTTGACTGGATTCGATAAAGAGTTATAGAACCAAAACATAGCTGGTTCTATGTGTCAACCACACATCACCAGATTACACGTGATTGGAAATTTACTAATTGCATCATTCGGCTTAAGTAACCAATCATATCAGTAATTGAACAGGTTCGGGTCACGAATAGCTTAGTCTGTGCGTGATGTCCATGGGTCCTATAAAAGAAATCGTGGCAGATTTTCATTGGATTCTATCTGAGTTCCTAGACCATATGATGTAACAGTTCCTATCAGCAAACTCGAACAGCGGGTCTGGCTGGATGAGGTTTCAGGGAATGACTTTATTCTATTATCCAGGTACCAGATGATGCCGTGGGATTTGCGGACTTTTGAAACTATGTTTGTCTGTTCGAAGGTTTATCTTTGTTTTGCGTGTTGTGTTGTCTTCCTGCACTTACTAATAGAAAAGTGCGATGTTAAACCCCTTTGTCTTAACACCCCTACACGTCCACCAAGGCATGTAAACCATGGTGTTCCCGGGAGTTTATCTTACAGGTTTTGTTTTGCGTGTAGTGTGGTACTCCTGCACTTACTAACCTACACGTCCACGAGGCAAGTAAAACCATGCTGTTCCCGGAAGTGTTTAGATGAAGATATGTCTCATGTATCATAAGTTTAACATAGACTAAAAGTTGATGACACCAATAAGATAATCAATTGTTACTCTACTTACTGTCCACTTATCTGATGAACCATATTCCCAATAAAATCATTTTTGGTCAAGCTATCTATCTGAACTAAATTCATTCCATGGAACTGACAACACTGACTGGCATCTGGACGCACTAACCACGGTTCATTCACATAACCACATAACCTAAAATTATGTTGTAACAAACAAATCTGTGAAAGGGCATATAGCCGGTTATGGTCCCAGCTTACCATGGATTCTCCCATTGACGTACATGAAAGTCTGTGAAAGGAAATATAGCCGGTTAAGGTCCCAGTTCACCATGGATTCTCCCATTGACGTTGATGTTAATTCTAGACATTTCCCCAATTTTAAGTTGAGTCGAACACTCTCTACCAAAACACGACGTGAATTCGTGCTCAAAAACACGTCTAAAGTTCACCATGGTAACTTATGATATACAAATGTGACACTCTGGGACACGAACTCTATATCCGAACGGCCACATCTTCTGTGTCACACTGTTTTCAGTATGTTGGCGGTATCTTTATACGTTGCAATGATATATTCTACAACATCGATGTAATGTTTCCAGTCCAAAATAAAAGATCCAAATTCCAAATCCAGTAACATATGGTTTATTTATTCTCTATCACTACAGACTCCTCGACAAATACCATGTAAATTGCCATAAAAAACCTGTGGATTGTCCATGTCCTAAAATTCCATGTCCTACAACCCATAATAATCCAAAATTAACAGGACCCTACAACCCATAATAATCCAAATTACAGGAAGTTACATCCGAAATTTAAAGAAATGAAAGTAGAGAATAGAACAATACAAAGCAAGGGAGATAACTACTGAGACACTAATACATTTATACTAATTCAGACTACTATTGTATAATAGTTCCATTACAATCGACACAGCAGCTGTTCTTTAGGTACATGCATTTAAAAGTTAATCTCGATTCAAACCCATGATGTCTACCCTGGCTATTTCGCCCAACCGTCTCCTGGCGACAACGCGCTGGTCTATTTCATATAAAATGGTGTGTGGCGTCAACAATCATGGCGGATCCTTGACCATATTTGGGCCAGTGTTTCATTAGAGCAATTTGACTGAAATTTTTATTATTCATTACCTATTTTGTAAATTTTATAGCGAGAACTGTCAGCTGTTTATCTAATTTTACCCAATGCCAACCTTCCGCCACTGTAAGTATGTCACAGTGGATATAAAACAAACTAGATTGAAAACGTACCTCGAGTTGACAATATGAAACAGAAGACTTATAAATTATCCATTATACTTTAATAGAACTTATAAAATTGTGTCCGCAATGAAATGTAAATTTGTTATAATCCATATTTCTGATGACGTGTAAATGTATTGCTAGTATCGAGTAATCAATGATTTCATAAAAATTCTGCTCCATTGGATAAAAAAACCCATTGTTAGAATCTGTTAGTTACCATGGATAAGATTTCTTTTAGTTATAAAGCTAACATAAGATATAGATTGTTAGTTAGATATGTATTCTTATTAATATCAAGCTCTTAGTATAGTAAACTATATGTATTTTAATTAATATCAAGCTCTTTCTGTACGACCATAGAAAATATATTAATAGGCTTCCGGTTTTTAATCATTAACGCCATTTCTAAACATTATCTTGTATAAAAATCAATATCATAGATACATTCAAATAGAATAGTTTCAATAGACTATTGTAGTAATTAAACAAATAGAAATAGTTTCAATAGATTATTGTAGTAATTAAACAAATAGAATAGTTTCAATAGACTATTGTAGTAATTAAACAAATAGAATACTTTCAATAGATTATTGTAGTAATAAAAGAAAATAATTGCCAATCCTCAACAGACGTCCACTTTCTCGTGGGTTGATTACAAATCATCCATGTATTAAGTAGCACATGGTATTGATTTCTTACTGTCAATTATTTCATTTACTGTTCTGCTCTGTAACCTTCGGGTTATGAAATGAATGTGTAACAGTAACTGTAGGAGGGCGGCACCACACACAAACACAATGAAACCCAGAAGACAATCCCCTGAAGATAAATCGCGCAAAACAAGGACGTAGTAAGCAATGCATGGATCGAGAAGAGGTCGTGAAAGGTCACTGACCTGGCGCAGGCTGTACTCAAAATTACAACAAACACACAATGGAGACAATCTTCGAATACTTCCCAAACATCATGTTATTGTAATAAACATTACAGAAAACACACAATGGAGACAATCTACGAATACTTCCCAAACATCATGTTATTGTAATAAAAATAGTGCGATTGCGCCAGTTAGCAATAAGTAGCGATGCTTACTATTTCGGAACACTCAATACCCCTTCTCATATATGCCACTGCATTCTACATTGCCATATTAAGCTGTTGTTTCGGGAACCAAAGTGGCTCGGTGAGTAAGAAGTTGGTTCACTAACCTGAAGGTCCTGTGTTTGATCCCTGTGTTGACCTAGAAATTTCATCGGGTTTTCCGGCGAGGTTCCCCCTTGGCCTGGCAAAGGACAAGGTAGGTCATTTCGAATGGGACCAAGAACTGAGGCCCCCGTATACTCACTGCCGTGTACGTAATCAAACTACTGACAGTTAGAATTCCCCTCATAGCACACTTTCTGCCGTATGCCCTTCTTCATTAACCCAGTTGGAGCAGAGCAGTAGGACGTTAATCTCAACTCATTTCATTTTAAGTTGTTTTTATGCCTTGTAAATATTTTAATTCCTGCCATCATCAAGCAATGCTTAAGCAGCCTTCATTTTAAACTACTTGAAATATTTCATCAACACCACTTAATTTTGTGGGATTTTCTATAGTATAATGTGCGTTACAATGGCCGTTAGCCATTAATTAAAACAACAGAAGATTGAGATCCGCTGGAGATTGGATTAAAGATCACCAAACTTGGACATAATGATATTTAAATACGTTCCAGGAAATCTGTATGTAGATATTTCAGGAAATGAGGTGGTGTTTATTATCCTCATATTGTGAATCAACTGGGCGAATGACGACGGACATACGCTATCAGTGTGCTACGGGGCAATTTGGACCGGATAACCAGGTTTTCCGCACACTCTTCGTCGAATTTCAACAGTCAAAGATCTTTTATGTACACTCCAATATAGTGTTCGTCCCATTCATCAAATTTGAAGTCTATTTAAAAAAAGAAACCGGCTGTGTAATGTAGGCTCGCACATTGGCAAAGTAACCAGGTTTCACAAGACGAAGTAGAATAAGTTTTATTGTTTGTGAATTGAAGCTTTCTTCTTTCATATTATTAATACGTTATTAATTTTACCCGGGCAGCGGCACTATCGCCTATACACTGTATATAAAACTGTAGATATATATATATATAAAATAAATAAAAGATTCTACTCTCAGGTAAAAGTATATAGAAATATGAGATTTTCAGAAAGAAAAAACTAATATCATCTTAACTAGCGCTTTCACCCACTACGGGGATCATCAGGCATTTAATAATGAGCTAGTATACACTTATATGACGTCATGGCGTTATTAATACGTATATGTATATGACAATAATAATATCAAATATATATATATTACAATATCAAATTACAATATAAAATTATGTAGCATTTAATTTAGGCTGATACTTGTTAATAAAATGCCGTTCTTTATTTTCTAGCAAATTATTATCCGACCGGTTGAGTTTATATAAGGGGAATACCCTAAATTGTCCCTTTCCACATGTATCTAACTGTTCGCTTCGTCGAATCATTCTATTTTTGGGATTAGCAATGTGGGATCTGTGTAGATTCATCCTTATTTTGAGTTGTGATTCAGTTTTGCCTATATACTCTTCATCACAACCTGGACATATTATCAAATATAAAACATTTTTACTTTTACAGGTCATAGATTGTTTTACTTTAAAATTTACATTTCCATTAATTTCTACTGTTTTACCTTCAATAATATCACAAGTTTTACATCTATTGTCCCCACGTTTTGTGACACTCGATTCTGTGACTTCAGAATCAAATTTTGAAGAAGTAAGTATTCGTCGTAAATTTTGGGGTTGTTTGTAAGAATTTATAATCTTTGTGGAATCCCACATATTTTTACTATTTCTTAATAAATATGTGTGTTTATTTATTACATCCCTGGCTTTTTCTTGAGAAAACCCACGAGGTCCATATGTTAGGAAGATGAGTTTGGATGGTTAGTTTGAAGGTCACGGTCTGTTGTTTGTTCCCTACGTGTATAATATGAAACAATTTTGTAAGAAATGAGTTTCTACTTGATTTCTCGTCTTCGTTAGCCCAGTTCGGAGCAGAACAGTAGGACGTTAAACCCCATTTCATTTCATTTCTAGTTGATTTATTTCACGGCTGACCATACCGCCACTTGATTGTTTATTAACTCTATACCTGTATCGTGGTCTGGAAATATAACAAAACATAATAAGTTTTACATAATTAATTCAAAGGTGAACTAAAACGAGTCTTATGGATGGCATATGAAAACTGGCGAAGTGAATTTTTTGATATTGTCGATAGCAGCGAATAGGAATCGGGATTTGTCTCAAATACCACTTATGCTATGTTATTTCTGTCAGGTCAACGTTAAGACTGTTTAAATATGACATATTTGGTTGGGAGAGAATAAGGGTTATTTCGAATCCTCAGATCTGATTTCAATTTAAATCCCAGATTCGTGTCTGTCTAAACCCATTCAGATAAACTCCAAGATGAAAAAATTTCCAGCTTCTGAAAGGCACTTTCTTTAACCCTTAACCGGTCGACGTCATTTTGACGTCATGACGTCAAGTGGTCAAGCTAAATAAAGGCCGGAGTGAAATATCGACTACTGCCGAATAATTATAAGTGATAGACTCTTGACGCGAATAATAACATGAGTAAATGACGTTTTTTTTTTAGATCCGACTACACCAAATCGATATCGTGATTCGTTCCTAGTATAAAAACACTAGGCAGGGTAAGCTTACTCTTCCGGACACCTGTTACCACTGTTTGTCGTGTATTTTGTACACGAGGAGCAGTCCATTTGCTGATTACACTATTTTGCTTGAATACACTATTTTGCCTATAACGTTTTTTAGGACTTCGAATTCTGTCTTATGGTTTGGATTGTTCGTACTTGGTTTTATTTTATTTTACTCTTACCTAACGATATCTCTCTGGTGGAATTGGCAGCTTAAAAGTCTTCTAGCACATTTCCTGAATAATGGATTACTTAGGTAATAGATGATCGGATTAATCATACAAGAAGCTTTAGCAAACATGGTTGGCCAGGTAGTGATCCATATTGGTAGATTAGCATCATAGACAGACCAAAGACACACAAACGTATAAGGTGACCAGAGAATGGTAAACGTTCCTGTCATTAGCAGACATATCTGAAATATTGTAATCCCAATTAATAAGTCAAGTTGATGCTGTGCGAAAGCTGGTGTGTTTAATTATTTCCTGACACATTCAGGATTACGCACGGTCGTCTAAATAGTTTTTTATAGTGTGCCAGCTTGATTTACTGTTATCGTGTGGTGATGTCCTTGTAGTGTGTTGGTTTATAGTGTGGCAGGTTTCCATATATTTAATAAGTCACGTGATATCCTACATTTGCATTTCAAAGTTGATGCTGTGCGAAAGATGCTATGTAGATAGCGTGAAGGACAAATGAGATGTGGCAGACCGCAAATGCAAAAAGTAATGTGAGAAAGGTAAAATGTAGACACTTCAATAAAAGCATTTGCTAACAAAACAATTGTCATTTGACACTTAACATTTGACGCTTTACATTTAACTCTTACCTTAGAGGTATTTTGACTTTTATCATTACCGGCTTTAGGACTTTGTACATTGTACTTTTTACATATTATCAATGGAAACGACATTGTCGCAGAGCATTTAATATTGGCAGCGATACCCTCCCATACATTAGAATCTATATCAATCTTATTACCTAATAACCCGATGATAATAAATTAGGGGGTTTAAAATCCCCTTATAATCCCCTTATATAGCATCGAAAAAACAAGCGCAGGTGGGAGGATAAGAAAAATTAGTCTTTTAAGAACTGGTCAATGACATTTGATTCCATATTTCTTCTTTTAATGGTATCATCAATTTGTACTTTATAAAACGTAAAAATACTAAATTTAATATTTAAATTTTTGGCACAAGTTTTAAAATGTTTAGAAACTTTCAAAACAGGATTATATATATATATGGTTTTCTATTGTCCAGACAGGCAACACGCAGATGTATTTTTAATTCAAATCATTATGCAGTAAATTAGAATAATACTATTTTAAACAGTGGGATAATATATTTCATATATAATGCTAAAAGAAATAACAACCGTCGCAAAGATCGTCTACCGATTTTAGATAGAATATAATCCTTGAGTGGCATTTAGCGACTGTATTCTGTTACCTCATTTGTGCTTGATAACGATAAAAGAATACTTGTCGAAACGTCGTGCTATGCCTGTAAAACAGTGACTGTATATTTCTATATAAATTGTGTTGTGTTTTTTAGTAATAGAATAATTATGTTAAATAGATTTCAATTATGATTTAAAGTTAAAGATATTGCAGGTTCACTTTTCCTATCAACTATCAGCCATAGTGGGGGGAGGGGGCGGGTGGATGGCCGAATGGTTAGCACGCGCGCGCTGTATCATACGATCTGTCATTGAGTCAACTGACGGGGTTTCGATTCCCCGGTTGTACGTGACAAGGGGTAGGGTCGACTGTCCAAACACACTCTCTGGGTCCTCCGGTTTCCTGCCACTGCTAAAGACCCCTACGCGCAAACGAATAATTGAAATAAAATAATAAACCATATGTTAGTCCCGAAATGACCTAGTTTGTGTCGAGTGGACGTTAAACCCATTCCTCTCGCTATCTCTCTCTCTCTCTCTCTCTCTCTCTTAGCCATAGTTAAAATCTATACAATTATATGTATATATAGCGTTAATTCTATAATATATATATATATGTAAGATTAGTGGCCGTCAGAATCGTCCTTAAAGAGACGTTTCCGTGCGTTATTGACAGAAATGGAGCTGTCAACACCCATTCTGCCAATTTCGTTACCTTTGAAGTATGGAGGTATGCCTATTGCCAGCTGATCAACGGGTATCAATGCCGGAAGGATGGTGGATTCATATAAAATAGCACCCTTGACTGATGGCGAGATAACTTGAGTGTGTCATACTGGTGTGTTTCCACGGTGTGTTTCCACTTAGCCGGCAGACTGTTAATCCTTTAATTGATCTTAAAACTATACTCTGTTTAAAGGTAGTCACTCAAGAACTGTTCACTAGTGTTCGGCGTTAATGAGCTCTTAATCCCTCTTAATAAAATTTAGGCGTTATGCCTTCAAACATGATTTCGATGTTAATATAAATAGATAGTCGATCTGTGTCGACTGGACGTGGACGTAAAACTTTAAAAAACTAACTAAGTGTCGAAATTATATTTATTTTAAAATGGCACACGATCGGGTTAATATTCGCTTTATCTCCAATAATCGAGGTGGCCGAAATTTAAATGCCGTCCAATGGAAATGATCAACAAAAACATGTCCAGTTACTGTAAACACCAAGAATGATGTTGGATCCGAACACAATCATCAATAGTTTTATTCTTAAAAGAGATATGGACTATAGTTTATAACACCATTGTTCTAGGATTAACTCTGGATTAGCGGCAACATTTAACATCAAAGCCTGCCGGCAAAGTCGGAACACCCCGTCAAAATATACAAGAATGCCGTGAAGAGTATAACATATTTTAACGCTGTCCTCCATTACAGTATACTAATAAAACTATTGTCAAAATTACGTCCGAATATCAACACATATTCAACGCCGTCTTTGTCACAGATGAGCCCGGTCGAATTGGTTTATCGGACTACATTTTGTTGTCCTATCCAAACTTTTGAACTGCTCTGAATAAATAAAATCGAGCGCCATTAAGGCGCAGTAGGACATCTCTACCAAAATAACATAGAATGGATCTCCACAACTTATCCATGTAAAGTGTTTTCCAACTTCTATGTTTTTACAGTAAGTTATATATTCTTGGTTATAAATAGTTCTGGATAGTTCTAGACCAAAAATCACATAAAATTTATCACCACAACTTACCCAGGTAACGTGTTTTTCAACTTCTAGTTTTTTACAGCAAGTTAAATCCTCCCCACTCATGGTTTTAATCGTGGACATTTCAAGACTTTTCTGGATTTCCTTTGCCCTTGTACATACACTGGTGTAGCAGAATATCATAATAAAGACGTGGATGAGGTAACAGAATACAACCAGACACCAGGTATACACAACAGCTGCTGTACTACGATTTGTCCAATCAATGCTGCATGATGTTCCTGTTGAAATAAAACAATACACCGAATGAAACTAACTAACTTGTCTATTCGATCCAGAAAACCTATTTATTTTCACCCGAAAATATATTTCTAATAATATTGGGCAAGTAGAACTAGAGCTTAAATAGCACGATAAGCTCAATGTGCATTAAAAGGAATTGTCGACAAATCTTAGTGTTCTCCCATTGATAGGGTATATAAGTTTTTTTGGGGGGGTTTAATTGTCTAAATTACTATTTTTAATTTTAATAGTGTGTACAGAACCTTGCCATTTGACCTTCTTCCGCATTAGGGTTAAAGATAAAACAAAAATCTATTGTTGTTTGTATCATACAGGGGATGTGTTACTAATATTTACACAATTAAACTAAAGCCCATAGCGCAGAATATTGCGGTGTTATTTCAATCAGGCAGCTTAGATCGATGAGATGGGTGAGAACGTTCCGGATAAAAGCGCCAATTAATTATCAAGTCGTTTCGATTTTGTTTATGACTTACCAATAATGAATATTGATTTAAAATAAGCAAGATTGGTGATTTATAGTATTATCAGTAAGTAGGAGGTCAAGAAGTCATACAGGCTTAATAAGGACCCTGAATTATATAATGTATTATTGTCTTACCAAAAGGCTCAAAAGTATAGGAACTCCATCCAAATAATGGCGGGGCCGTCCAAATTATTGAGTATATCCACATGAAGGCTATTACCCATTTAGTGAACTTTATGTCCAACTTGTAAACTAAAAGGGAAATATAATTAAATATAAAAAAAAACAAAGGAAAATTAATGTGTTAAACTTCTGCCTATATTATGACATTTCTTCTCTTACAAAATGAAATGAAATGAAATGGGGTTTAACGTCCTGCTGATCTGCTCCTAAACTGGGCTAATGAAGACGGACATACGCCATACAGTGTGTTATGAGGGAAATTTTGCCCCGGCAGCGGCGCTACGGCATACTCGTATATCGAATTCCAACTGCCAAGGGATCTTTTACGTGCACGCCAATGCGTACACGGGACCTCGGTTTTTCGTCCCATTCGAACGACTAGTCACTTGTCCTTGTCAGGCCCTCCGCTTTCTGACAAAGAAATGGTATAACACATATACTACGGTCTATGTGTTTTAGGTCAGTAAATCTACCAGACAGCCCCACCCCCCGCCCCCCGTGACCCAGAATAAATATGCATTTAGGGTACTTGCATATCAATATACCAAAAGTCTACTAAATCGGACATGTTAGTGCTTAATTATTACGATGAACTAGCCATAGTAAATATGGGGTCACGTGTAACGTAGTATCCACGATTACTGTGGACTTGACTTCTTTATTTCAACAATGCAGGAGCAAATATTAAAAAATCATTACATCTATAATTCTTAGTTCTTACAATCAATACAGCACACGGGAACATATCATAATAGGTTGTAGACATTACGGCCATCGTCCAAATTCACGTCAGCCCCCATTGTTGCATACCCTCGTTCTGCCTTGAGTTTACCTTCTCATTTATATCATATATCTAAGCCAATATTTACTAATTCATTCATTACAATTATCTAATTACCTATAATTGTACAGGCATAAATGATATTGAATAAAAGAACCAATATAAATACTACAGAATGAAATCAGCTGTCATTAATAGATTATCTCACTATAATCATATGGCAGGTTGCAGAACAATTGATGTGTGTCAACTGAAGGCTAGTAAATGTAATTAGGGATCGGTGGATTATCTAACTTAACCATTTACATACATCAGCTGGACTGATTGTATCTCCAACTCACAGCTATAAACTACAGCTGCTTAATATTCCGTAACACACGAACACAATTTCCAACGTTTCCATAACAATTATACTTACTGTATTGAGGTTTGCAAACACTAATATAACGGTAGACACTCAAACAGGCTAAGGTATTCATATCAGTTTGGGCTAACGTGAATGTTGCAAACCCTTGAATAGTACATCCCGTGGTTCCAAATAAATATCGTTTGGCGAAATTGGAAGCAGTCGTCATTGGATAACCGAACACGGATATTCCTATATCAGCTATAGCCAGATTCAGCAATAGAAGATCATGTGGTTTCCTTCTAAATTGTTGTTCTCGACAAAACATCGTCAGTACCATTAGGTTACCAACTGTAGCAATCACACCTACAAGAAAGTATGTTTGTCAAACAATAAAGTGTTTTTAGATTATTTCATCAATATTATATATACTCTTCAAAAAAAGTAGGGGATATTGAAATGCAAATACCTATGCAGGTTGTGATATGATAAATATTCATGGACACTTGACATGCTTTGAGAGTATGTTCACAGATGAAGAACTTATCGCCCCAACAGAACCACTGAGCTGCATGTGCGAAACGCAATACCGCCATACACGTGGGAGGGGTTCATTGTCAAATTTGACACTTTCAAGGAAGGGTTGATGAAAACTGGCACTTGCTGGTTTATCATATCATGTTTGCTTTCCTATCGGTTCTCGCATAATATTTATTGTTTAGCGTATCTTTGCTTTAGTGTGTTACGTTTAATTTGATCGCCAGACGTGTTCGTCGACGTCAACGTTAACCGACAACACTGCAAGAATTGGCCGTGGCACTGCAAGAGGAGTGGGTCAGATTGCCCCAAATCATGATTGGACGGTTGATTAGGAGCATGCCACGACGAATTGCAGAATGTCTGAAGATTGGTCGAGCAATTACTCATTATTAAGACAAAAATCAAAAACGTCCATTTTCACTTTTGACAGTGTATCTCTTTGCGAGTGAAATGGGACCGTCAGATAAGCCGCCCATATGAACTGGTCATGGTTATGTGTAGGCAATTGGCCTGTTATTAACATACACGGGTTACCTCTAATAAAAACAGCAGTGCATTTCCACAGTTTTGTATTGTTTCTGAATATCCCCTCCTTTTTTTTAAGAGTATATATTATTATTGATTTATATAGCGCCACTTCCACAGTACAGTGCTCCAGTGCGCTTTACGACATAGATATAAAAGCAAATAGAAAAATAGAAATACAACCAGCGGCTGCCAGGCAGGAAACGCCCACATTTTCGAGAGATGGATAGAGAACACGCTAAAAAGAAAGTAATTTTTCGTACAATTAGAGGCCATAATTCAGGAAGTTACGGTCCGATATGCGCGAATATCGAAAGGAACCGAGATCTTTGGGTTATAAACTTACATTTCAAGTTTCAACAAAATCGGATAAAAATTGTGACCTTGATATACCATATTTTTACGCTATTTGAGAACGAAGGGCGGCCATTTTGTCTGTCAGTTTTGGACCGATTTTCATGAAATTCAAACTCAGTCGTCCTTAATGTCTAACGGTGATATAATAATACGTTTTTTTTAAATCGGATAAAAATTATGACCTCTATGGGCTCCACAAGCTAAAATTGCAATTTTTCGTACAATCAGGGGCCATAATTCAGGAAGTTACCTTCCGAAATGCGCGAATATCGAAAGGAACCGAGATCTTTGGGTTATAAACTTATATTTCATGTTTCATCAAAATAGGATTAAAATTGTGACCTCTATAGGGTTCACAACCTTGATATACCATATTTTTAAGCTATTTGAGAACGAAGGGCGGCCATTTTGTCAGTCAGTTTTGGGCCGATTCTCACGAAATTCGAACTTAACCGTCCATAGGGTGTAACAGTGTTATAATAATACGTTTTTTTAAATCGGATAAAAATTATGACCTCGATAGGGTCCACAAGCTAAAAACACGATTTTTCGTACAATCAGGGGCCATAATTCAGGAAGTTACGGTCCGATATGCGCGAATATCGAGACGAACCATGATCTTTTGGTTATAAACTTACATTTCAAGTTTCAAAAACATCGGATAAAAATTATGACCTCTATAGGGTCCACAACCTTGATATACCATATTTTTACGCTATTTGAGAACGAGGGGCGGCCAATTTGTCTGTCAGTTTTGGGCCGATTTTCACGAAATTCGAACTCAGTCGTCCTTAGGGTGTAACGGTGATATAATAATACGTTTTTTTAAATCGATTAAAAATTATGACCTCTATAGGGTCCACAAGCTAAAAACGCAATTTTTCGTACAATCAGGAGCCATAATTCAGGAAGTTACGGTCTGATATGCGCGAATATCGAAAGGACCCGAGATCTTTGGGATATAAACATACATTTAAAGTTTCAACAAAATCAGATAAAAATTGTGACCTCTATAGGGCCCACAACCTTGATATACCATATTTTTACGCTATTTGAAAACGAACGGCGGCCATTTTGTCTGTCAGTTTTGGGCCGATTTTCACGAAATTCGAACTCAACCGTCCTTAGGGTTTAACGGTCATATAATGATAAGGTTTTTTAAATCGGATAAAAATTATGACCTCTATAGGGTCCACAAGCTAAAAACGCGATTTTTTGTACAATCAGGGGCCATAATTCAGGAAGTTATGTTCAGATATGCGCGAATATCGAAAGGAACCGAGATCTTTGGGTTATAATCATAAATTTCAAGTTTAAAATAAATCAGATAAAAATTGTGACCTCTACAGTGTTCACAAGCTAAAAACGTGATTTTTCGTACAATCAGGGGCCATAATCCACGAAGTTACAGTCCGATACATGCCAATACCGAAAGGAACCGAGATCTTAGGGTGATAAACCTATATTTCAAGTTTCATTGAAATCGGATAAAAATTGTGACCTGTAGACTGTTCACAAACAATTGTGGACGTCCGTCCGTCCGGACGACAGGGGCGACGACAATATACGTCATAATCCATGAAGTTACAGTCCGATACATGCCAATATCGAAAGGAACCGAGATCTTAGGGTGATAAACCTATAAAAAGGATAGATATATAAGAAAGGCACGTACATTTAAAATTCTTAAAACATCACCATATAGACAAGTGTATAGAAATGAAATGAAATGAAATGGGGTTTAACGTCCTGCTGTTCTGCTCCTATACTGGGCTAATGAAGACGGGCCTACGCCATGCAGTGTGCTATGAGGGAAGTTTTGCCCGGGCAGCGGCACTATCGCCTACTCTTATATCGAATTCCAACTGTCAGGGGATCTTTTACGTGCATTCCAATATATACACGGGACCTCGGTTTTCCGTATCATCCGAAGGACTAGACAACTGTCCTAGACAGGCCCGTCGTTCTGCACCACTGACAAAGGGAAACACGTCGGAAAATCATGATGAACTTTCTCGGTCAATGCAGGGATCGAAGACCCCCAGGATAGAATATAAAAAAATACTAAAATAAAAGTAAAATAATTAGTAAAACACAAGAAAGACAAAACATAAAAGATAATTTTCACAGCTATCATTTATATCATTGTAACATTGGCGTATATACATTAAAACTATTGAAATGCTTCATTAAAAAGATGCGTTTTGAGACGGGTTTTAAATCTAGACAAGGAAGGTGAATTATGGACACTCAGGGGTAAGCTGTTCCACAAGTAAGGACCCTGGAAGGCAAACGATTGTTCACGATAGCTCACAAGCCGAACAGGTCTTTTAATTAAGAGATTCCTAGGGGATGACCGCAAAGTTCGACTTAGTATATAATTCTAATCGGTCGCTCAAATAAGAAGGTGCCATGTGATTAAGAAATTTATTAGTTAATTAAACGGATTCTAAAACGAACAGGGGGCCAGTGTAAATGGTATAAAATCGGAGTAATGTGGTCATTAAAACTGCTTCTACTTATATGTCTGGCAGCACTATTCTTCACTTTTTGAAGTTTATCTATCAATTTGCTGGGAAGGCCAATTAAAAGAGAATTACAGTTAAGTCTAGAAGTGACCATAGAATGAATTAAAATCTTTGTAGCTTCCTCAGATATTTTTTACATTAATATTAAGGATAACAAAACAATGTGTAATTGTGATAGTGGTGATTTATTAAATGACAAAAACCAAATCAGTCTATAATGAAAAAAAGATAAATGATAAAAATACCAATCAACAAGTCTATGCAAGGGACGAAGCACAAGCATGAAGCGTGCTATAAATGACTTGTAACATTGACACCTGCTCAACATGCTTGTTGTTATTGCACAGCCCCCCCCCCCCCCTTACTTCTCTATATTTTTTCTACTAAAACTAGTGTAAACCAGCAAAAGAGCGCAATAACATTGAACATGTCTAGTTATTGCACGGTTAAGCTCCACCCAATCTACCAGAGGGAAAACAATCTGCTTATTCAACGAAAAGAACAAAGGAAGATTTCCCATCGTGTTACAATTTTACTTGTACGCTAACGTGTGCACAGGATCTCGGATTTTCGTTCCACGACTAGACACTGTTCCTTGCAAGACCCTCCGTTCTGCACCTTTGACTATCGAACGCCACGCTGGAAATCTTGAGGTACCTTCTCGACTAATACAGGGATCGAACCCGGGGCCAGTCACCCAGCACCTTCTACTTGTGCAGCAGATGGAAACTAACGACTAGTTTATCTATGCCAGACAATCCGTTTGATCTTGTTTTTTTACGCCACGCCTTTAAAATGTTCGCATGAAAGAAACTAATAGACTGGCTATAATCAGCTTATTTTTTAATATTTCTGTATTTTATATCATTTTTAATTTTGTTTATGTTCCAAGGAGAGCCGGACATGTGGCGGTGCCCGCTGTTCTAGTAAATCTTAACTATAGAAAGAGCATGTGTCGTAAGCTATCACTTGAGACGACTAACTCACAAAGTTTGGTTCACGCAGAGAAATCATCAGCTTTTTATTAATTCCCATTCGTTACAAACGACCGAATTTTTATAACTATTGCTGATTTGTTTCTGTATTATATACAGGCACTCGTTAAAACAAATAAACGATTAGTCAGACGTTTTAATTTCACTTATCGATATATCGATGATGTTCTGTCACTGAATAATCCTAAATTTAGTGATTATTTAGAATTCATATATCCTCATGTGTGTAGTAATACCGGATTTCCTTGTGGGGGGTTGGGGTTGTTGGGTTTTTTTTGGGGTTTTTTGGGTTTTTTTTAAATATAATGTATATTTATATACATAACTACCTTATAAACAATATTACACAATCAAAAAACAGTAATTACCACGCCACACAATACCCCCCCCCCCCCATACACAACCACAGAGAATAGGCGAAA